GTGTGTGTGTGCTACTATGGTGCATGGATGGAGGGATGTGGCTGCAGCAGTGGCAGAGGCGAAGGCGAGAGCTGATGCTCCGTTCAGATCACAGCAGTTTCAAGAGGCTGATCATGCATACACTCAGGTGCGTGTGTTTGTGTGTGTGTGTGTGTGTGCATGCGTGCGTGCATGCGTGCGTGTGTGTGTGTGTGTGTGTGTCCGTGCGTGCGTGTGTGTGTGTGTGTGTGTGTGTGTGTGTGTGTGTGTGGGTTTTGGAGGGGGTGGGCTCTGCTATCATGCCTAACTTAAAGCCCAGCGCTATTGCTAACCAACCGGATTCCAAAACCCTTTCCAAGCACTGCATCTGTATGTAACCAGGGGAGGACCTTGCAGCAACACCAGCGGATGGCACCCTCCTGGCCAACTGCAGCATCTGTTGGCTGCGCCTGGGGCAGGCGCCCCTCGCCCTGGCAGACGGGCAGATGAGCAGTTAGGCAAATAACCCCCTCCACCCTTCTCCACCACCCCAAACCCCCCTCTCTATGCACTGGACCTGTACCCCAAGACAGACTTACCAGCAATTCCAGCGGACGACAGGGTCATGAGAGGCACTCTGCTGGCCAACTGCACCATCTGCTGGCTGACCCTAAACCCTTTGTCCCTCCACCCCTCAACCACCCCCATGTCCCATCACTAGGCAGTGGATTTGTACCCCAAGGCGGACTTACCAGCAACCCCAGCGGACGACAGGGTCATGAGAGGCACTCTGCTGGCCAACTGCACCATCTGCTGGCTGACCCTAAACCCTTTGTCCCTCCACCCCTCAACCACCCCCATGGCCCATCACTAGGCAGTGGATTTGTACCCCAAGGCGGACTTACCAGCAACCCCAGCGGACGACAGGGTCATGAGAGGCACTCTGCTGGCCAACCGCAGCATCTGCTGGCTGCGATTGGGACAGGCGCCCCTGGCTCTGGCAGACGGGCAGACAGGCAAATACCCCTCCCCACCCATCTCCACCACCCGAAACCCCCCTCTCCAGGCACTGGATATGTACCCAGAGGCAGCAGAGCTCGCAGCAACACCAGCGGACGACAGGGTGATGAAGGGCACCCTCCTGGCCAACCGCAGCATCTGCTGGCTGCGATTGGGACAGGCGCCCCTCGCCCTGGCAGACGGACAGATGAGTCGATCTCTGCGGCCCGACTGGCCCAAGGCTTACTTCCGAGAAGGGACTGCCTTCAGAGCGATGGAGGTGAGTGCTGAGAGGGGAGGGGGAAGCAGGGAGTGGGGAGAGGGAAGGGAGGGGTAGGCGGACGGGCAAATGAGTCTGTCGCTGCGGCCCGACTGGCCCAAGGCGTACTTCCGAGAAGGGACTGCCTTCAGAGCCATGGAGGTGAGTGGGTCTGGAGCCATGGTGACTTTTGAGTCGACTCAAAAGTCTCTTCCGAGAAGGGACTGCCTTCAAAGCGATGGAGGTGAGTGGGTCTGGAGCCATGGGTGCAGTGCTCGGGAGGAGAAGAGGGGGAGAAGGGGAGAGAAGAGGTAGAAGTAGAAGGGAGGAGAGGACTAGGACAGGCGCCCGGGGAGATGGGCAGACGGGCAGATGAGTAGGTCGCTGCGGCCCGACTGGCCCAAGGCCTACTTCCGAGAAGGGAGTGCGTTCAGAGCCATGGAGGTGGGGAGGGTATGAGAGGGGGTTTCACGTTGGGGAATGGGGAGAAGTTAGGGAGAGGAGGGGGGGGGGGGGGGGGGGGGGAAGGGCCCAGTGGTCCAGGGGGCATTTGGGAGAGAGTGAACAGATTCAATCAGAAGGGTTCCCTTCTTTTTTTTTTCCGCACTGTATGGTGTTCTTAGTTTTACTGTTCGGTGTGCTGCAGCGTTACGAGGATGCAGCGAATGTGTTCTTCGAAGGGGTTCAAGTCGATCCGAATAACATGGATCTCACGGCAGCATTTCAGTAAGTGGTGAATTTACATAAGCACTACAGCGTCATCCTTTGGCTTGTATCCTAGTTTCTTACACATGTTGCCTTGGTCGGTCTGTTTTTGTTTTGCAGAGAAGCGATTGAAGCTGGGCGCAAAGCACATAAACAGAAGCAGGGGTCTAATTCCAGCTCTTGACACTCTAATTCTTGCGTACCATGTCTTTTTTTTCCCCGTTGTGTGTATATTACTAACGGAAATGTTTATGAAGCAGAATATTGGCACACTTATGGTGATGTCTAAATTGTGGGGGACATACAACTATGAGTTAGTCTCCATGAGCTACACCCACCAAATCAAAACATAATATTTATCGGAAAGTCAAGGTAGTTGGGTGGCGATGCGGCATGCGAGAGAGAGACACGCCAGCTTCAAGCCACGTGCTCGTGCGAAGGCGGCGAATTGAGTGCGCCACTTCTCCTCTCCCAAAACCTGTGAATTTTTGTGGGCTGACAGAGTAAACGAATCATCGTCGCCGTCTCGTCGCAACCAACCAGAGGGACGAATTCGCAGCATTTGACAAGACCAACCGATCTGGCAATGACCGAGCGATGGAACACGAACCCTGAAAGGCTCGCTAGCCTTCGCCGCTGTGTTCTCGCATGGGGATTCCTCCACTGCCGCGCATGCTTTCCTTCGCAAAAGGCCGCTGCGAACCGCTTGACGAATCCAGCATTCTGGAATTCGCCGCCACGTCGCGCGAATGGAAGGGCGGGTGCACCATACATCCGTACCGCGCCCGCACTCCATGACCCCATCTTTCGCACATCCACACGTCCCCATTCGCACACGCTTTCGCTTCGCCCCTCTCCCCACAAACATGTGCGTGCTTGCAAGATTCCACCATCTACACCGCGAAGCGCATGTATGCCATCCCCACGACCCATGTTCTACCACGCCCATCCGAATTTGGGGCATGGAGTGGTGGGCTCCCAGGTTTGCCCCAGGTCCTGGCCCTAGCTCTTCTTCACCCCACTTATTCGCCCCTTTTTCCAGTCGGAATTCTTCCCTACACAACCACCGAAGTCATCCTTCCATCTTTCCATGATCTCCTTCGCTTCCGAAACAGCTTGGAGCTGCGGCTTCGTAATGTGTGGAATGAGTCGGGAGTTCTAGTTGACAGATTTGCAGAAAAGTATAGAGATTCCGGAAAGCGGCGGCCAAGGAATGTCGTAGACGAACTAGTAACGCGTCGCTGCTCGCCGCTGGAGACTCCTCATGCGGTCGCATGAGTTTTGAGACGTCTCAAAGCTCCTGTGTTCCCAGGAGCTCTCTTCTTGGCGCCGTATTCGGTGAACACAGCTTTCCACGAACTGAAACTGCCACAAAGTAAAAACGGTTAAGTCTCACCTTTGAAACGAGTATAAAGCGGCGAAAATGACGGTTTCGCTGCTAACGCATCAGCCACAGCAGTACCAACAGCAGCTATTTCAGCCTGCGCTCCAAATCCCTCCACGTGGCACTCAATCCGCGGAGTACGGCGCGTTCAACGGAGATGCATCCAGCGGACACTACAGCTCGTGCAATGGAGCTCCATTGGCGAACGATCCGTTAGCGAACACCTTCGAAAAGCCGGCCATCGATTACCCTCTTTCGCCATCCTGGGGCTTCGACGCTTTGCCATCGCCTAAGACGGCCATTGATGACTCTTCATTCTACTCGGCTCTCGAAACACCTCAAACGCAACGGGTTCAACCGATTGAACAAACTCAGCCGAGTCAACATCTCTCCGCCACAGCTACGTCGACTATCAGTAAACAAGATTACACTCCACCACGCATGGAGATGCAATCAATTCAGCAGATTCAACCAGGCCAACCAATTCAACCAGCTCCGAATCAAATGCGCCAGGATCACGAGCACTCCGCACCGTACGAGGAACCTTCCAGGCGAGTGCGTTCCTGTAGTGGTATTGGCGGCCATACCGGCGAGACTTGCGACGGTGGAGGCGGATATGGTGTGCAAAGCTCGACCAGTGGAAACCAGGGGTACTGGGTGCAACAGCAACCCCAGCCGCAACAGCTGCACCCCCAGCAGCAACAACTTCAATCCCAGCCGCAGCAGCAGCATCAGCAGCATCAGCAGCATCAGCAGCTGCAGCAACAACAGCTACAGCCGCAGCAGCAGCAGCAGCCGCAGCAGCAGCAGCAGCAGCCGCAGCAGCAGCAGCAGCAGCCGCAGCAGCAGCAGCAGCAGCAGCCGCAGCAGCAGCAGCAGCAGCCGCAGCAGCAGCAGCAGCAGCAGCAGCAGCAGCAGCAGGAGTACGCGCCGCAGTTCCCTGGTCAACAGCAGTCAATGGGGTCTTCGTCTTCAGTCGTCACGTATTCAACTGGTTACTCGTCTGGTTACTCCATGGGTGGTAACTCCTCCGCTGGTTACTCGACTGGTTACTCGTCCGGCTCTGCTCCGTTATCATCGTCTCCCCAGCCTATTTCGAGTACTGTACCTTTCGATTTAAGCACCGGCAATGCGTCCCTCGGTACAAGCGCGAACACTGCTTATCCGAATCACAGCGCGTGTGCCACATCGGCAGCATTCTCCCCGCAGTCCACGTCACAGTTCCCGCATTCCACGTCAGCGTTCCCTTCGTCATCTACCGCTATGACTCACAGCAGCGGCGCCACTGCTGCTTTTGCGACTACGCCGTCGTTCCAGCCGCAACAACCGCCGCAGTACGCGCCGATTTATGAGCCGCAACCGCCGCAGCAGTCACAACCATGGCAGCAGCAGCAGCAGCAACAGCAGAACCGTTCTCAACCACTGCCAGCACCGCCGCATCAGCAACAACAGAATAAGCATTATCAGCAGCAGCAGCAGGTTCAGCCGCCTCAGCAGCAGCCACAGCAAAAGCTTCTGTCAATTCCTCAGATGAATAGCACCTGGCCGAATACGCCCTCCCCCAGCAGCAACTGGCCGAATACGCCCTCCCCCTGTACCACCTCGTGGCAGGGTGCATCCAGCACGGCTCAGACGAACAGCAACACGTGGCACGGCACAGCTGCGCCAGGGGGCCCGCCTCCCGGGACGGCGCAAATGACTAGTAGCGCCGGTGCCGCCCCGCCATTCAGCAGCGCTGGATACAGCGGCGGCATTTCCCCCTCGCCTAGCGGGGGTGGCTCGCCTCTGGCTGGCGGAGACCTTTCCCGCGCGCCTGCCAGCGGAGACTATTCCCCCGCGGCGGCCCGCCAATCTTCCTGGAACGGTATGAGTTTTCCGCCGGCCGCGAATGACTATGGGGCGCAAAGAACGACCACCCCCGTAGGTTCTCCTACTCCCCCGTTTGCGCCACCTGCCGCGCCAGCTGCCGCGCCCTGCGCCGCGCACCCTGTTACGCCAACAGCTGCTGCTACCGCCGTGCCATTCGGCGCTGCAAGCGGCTCACCTGCCCCTCCTCCCCCTCCTCCTTCCGCTTCTCCTGCTCACCCTTCTGCCGCTGCTCCTGCTTTCGGCGGCGGCGGTGCTGCTGCTGCTCCTGCTGTACCGGCTTGGACCGTTCCCGCGTCAGCATCATCTCCAGCGCCGCCAACAGCAGCGCCGCCAGCAGCAGCGCCGCCAGCAGCACAAGCGTCAGCAGCAGCAGAAGAAGGAGCAACCGCACCAGCAGCGGCGTCAGCGGCGCCAGATGCGGCGGCGGCGGCGGCGGCGGCGAAGGATCCGCCGTGCGCGGCGTGCAAGTCGCTGCGGCGCAAGTGCACGCGCGAGTGCCTGCTGCTGCCGTACTTCCCGCGCAACCAGCCGGAGAAGTTTCACGTGGTGCACAAGGTGTTCGGCGCGAGCAATGTATCCAAAATGCTACAGGTGAGTCCCTTGTGCGGGGGAACATGAAGAAACCGGGAAAGGGAATAAATGTCATAAAGTGTTCCACGTGGAAGTTCCACGTGGTGCACAAGGTGTTCGGTGCCAGCAACGTGTCGAAGATGCTGCAAGTGAGTCCCTTGTTAGGGGGGGGGAAATACAGGGGAACCGTGAAATGGGTATATGAAGGGGAAGCTCCTCGTGGCGTGGCGCACCAAGTGTTCGGCGCCAGTAACGTCACGAAAGGTGAAACGCCCTTGCGGTGACGCTTCGAGGAGTACTTTGCGTGGGGCCCTATCGTGAGTTTCACAGAGGGGAGAGGGGAAATGCAAGCGGCAGGAGAAGATTTTCGTGGTGCTGCGGTTGAGGCTCTGCGAGGATAGTGTTTCCTCTCGTGAGGTGATATAGCGGGAAGTACGGATGCTGCCGCAGAAAGTTGCAAGGTGACGATGCTGCAGGTGAGGTGGGCGGTGCGGCTGTTGCAAGTGTTGGTAAAGGTTGGGAGTAACGAACGCCCAATCATATTTCGCCGATTTCGTCGCCAACAACGAACTCCAAGATGTTACAGGTAACCCCCCCTCGAGTTGTGCAGCGTGCTGTCCTCGTGGGTGTCGGGAAAGGAGGGCGTGACTGGGTGAGATCCTCGCTACTCAGAAAGGTGAACGATGTTACAGGTGAGCATTGAAGGTGAGATATACTGAAAGGTCATAAGTCATCAGAGTCTACACGTGAGTCACATTGAGGTGTTACTGAGATTGACTTGCGCTTGAACATTTAGTTTGTATTACTACAGAAATATATAGTAACCTAGCAGGTGAGCCCTACATTTTCACAGGTTAGCCTGGGCCTTACAACATAGCACTTGAGCCTTATCACAAAGTGCCGGGCAACCCTGATGGAATCGCAAGTAATCCTTGTTATGTAACATGGACAACATTTTTAAATAAATAGGGCTGCACTTCAATTTAGAAAGGCTCATCCCACACTCCTGCCTCTCTCTGTCATCCTGCCGCTCCGGCCCCTTCCATTCTCTGCCCCTCCCTCCCTCTTTACAGGACATCCCGGTGGCCCAGAGGGAGGATGCAGCGGCCAGTCTCGAGTACGAGGCACAGGCGACGCTTAAAGAGACCCGTTCAATCGTGAAAAAGCCCTGATATCCCTCAGCTTCTCCCACTCACCTGCCTCTCCTCCTGTCTCCTGTGTCTTCCTCCCCTCCCTCCCTCCCTCTTACAGGACATCCCGGTGGCCCAGAGGGAGGATGCAGCGGCCAGTCTGGAGTACGAGGCACAGGCGACGCTTAAAGAGACCCATCTAACAAATTTTCCTGCCTCTCCTCTCATTCTTCTCCTCCTGCTCCTACTGTCTGTTGTGCGACTGTGCTCCCCTTACAGGACATCCCGGTGGCACAGAGGGAGGATGCAGTGGCAAGCTTGGAGTACGAGGCACAGGCGAGGCTCAGAGACCCGGTGTACGGCTGCGTGGGAGTCATCTGCCTGCTGCAGGTACATCCCACTCTCCACTCTCGCTCCTCCCTCCCTACCTACCTCCCTGTCATGAGCCCCCTTATCCGCTCCTCTGAGACATCTCAACCACGAGGCTCAGAGATCCGGTGTACGGCTGCGTGGGAGTTATCTGCCTGCTACAGGTACACCCCTCTTCCCTCTACTCCACATGTATTCACAAACCTCTTAGAAACCCCTCGTGCCTCAGAAATGGGCACCTCCCCCCTCCCCCCTCTTTGTCTTTCGAGACCCGGTATATGGCTTCGTGGGGGTCAACTGCCTTTGATTTCGACTCAAAAGCTCGAATCTAAAGCTCAGAGACCCGGTATAAGGCTTCGTGGGGGTCATCTGACTGCTCCAGGTACCTCCATCCTCTAGCAAACCTCGTCTTTCACTTAGCCGCCCTTCGGCCCTAATTCAATCCCCTTGCCCTGAATCTTCCTGACCTGAATCTCCCTGCCTTGAGATTCCGTACCTGAATTCTGAGTCGACTCACAAGTCATTCCGTACCTGAATTCTGAGTCGACTCACAAGTCATTCCGTACCTGAATTCTGAGTCGACTCACAAGTCATTCCGTACCTGAATTCTGAGTCGACTCAAAAGTCATTCCGTATCTGAGTTCCCTTGCCCCGAAACTCCCTGCCCTGAATCCTCCTGCCCTGAATCCTCCTGCCCTGAATCCTCCTGCCCTGAATCCTCCTTCCCTGAATCCTCCTGCCCTGAATCCTCCTGCCCTGAATCCTCCTACCCTGAACCCTCCTGCCCTGAATCCTCCTGCCCTGAATCCTCCTGCCCTGAATCCTCCTGCCCTGAATCCTCCTGCCCTGAATCCTCCTGCCCTGAATCCTCCTGCCCTGAATCCTCCTGCCCTGAATCCTCCTGCCCTGAACCCCCCTGCCCTGACTGAATCCTCCTGCCCTGAATCCTTCTGCCCCATGTCACCAACCTCATCAACGCCCCTCGACCTCTCTCCTTGCTCCCCACTTCCCTTTCCACTTCCTTTTTCCCCATGACCCAAGGGGACCTCTAGGTTTCTTCCCTCATTGCTCATCCCCATTGTTTCCCCTCTTGCCCCCCTTCCCCATTGTGTCAAACAGAAAGAGATGGTGGCCCTGCAGGAGCAGCTGAAGGACATAGAGGCTTCTTCCCTCTCGTCCTCTCCCAATGCAACACACAGCTCGACGATTTCTGGTGACGGGGCCATGTATGGGATTGAATCATCTGCTGCAGCAGTGCCCAGTGTGGGAGCAGCAAGAGAAGAGGGAGGCGAGTGTTGAGACGCCTTTCAGATTTGGCCATTAACGAGTGAGGGCATGTATTGGGATGACTGACGCCGCCGCAGCAGCGGTGCCGAGTGCAGGAGCTGCAGGAGAAGAGTGTTGACATGGTTAAGAATGGGGATGAGAGCGCAGCAGCAGTCGCAGTCCCACCTACGTGACCTACAAGAGCAGAAGGAGGTGGGGCGAATGGCCGAGCAGACAAACAAGCGGGTGCAGGAGCAAAGGAGTAGGAGCAGGAGCAGGAGCAGCGGGATCAGCTGCGGGCTAAACTGTAGCAAACCACAAAAGGTTTTGATAGGAGCATAGTAATGCAATGAAAGCTCTCTCTTGCCTCGCTATAGGCACATACACGAACTGTTGTACGTATGCTTACCAGGCAAATGCTTGCGTACAGCATAGGCCCTTCATAGAATATTATTATGAATGGATTGGGCTTAGTTTAGAGCAATAAATATGTGATTTGTGTGTGTTGTTTCGTATAGGTTTCATATAACCATAGATACGTATCTTCAAATTGATACTAAATATCCTGGGTGTTTTTTTGTTGAACTTCGGTTTCTTACTATGGATTCGCTTTTTCCTGTAAAAATAAGTGCGAGTACCAGGGCAATATGTTTTTGGCTGGTGTGGTATTTTTAAAGAAGGCTATTGAGAACGATCAACCGTTTATCACAATTGTATATGTGGTCATATCCAGACTTGTCACATATTCATGACTGTATGCCTGACTTAGGCCAACTAAGGCTAAAATATAAAAGGCCTTCTTTGTGAAGATAATGCTATAGCAAAAAAGCTCAGCTCACTATTCTGCTGTGCCTGAAAACAAGTCGGACGTGGCATCACAATGGTGCCGAGAGCGAATGTATCGCCGCACTTCACGGAGGAATTTTGCGCTTTGTCCATTGCAAGCGCGCCTCGTCGGAAATGTCAAACCGTGCGCCGACATCTCTACATTTTGTGGGGCGGAAATGCGGGCACAACTAGGCGCCTGCTGAACGGCCCCGCGACTGCCAACAAAATTCACCATTTGTTTGTGCTGCGCCGTGATTGTGTGAAACCTGAACAAACGCCTGCGCGCTTGGTTGGCTTGGATGGAGCCGAGAGGACAGAGGGAGAGAGACTCGACTCGACCTGAGGGCACACACCCCTCTGCTATCAATTTCTCCCTCCATTTGTTCACTTCCGAGTTCCTTCCGACGCCCCTTTTCTTAGATGTCTCAGCGACTACAGCGCGCGCAACACACGCACATCTAGGTTGAGGCATTCAGCGGTCTTGGCTGTTCATTATGTTCCAGACTCCAGAGCGAAACGAGCCTAGGTGAACCCATCTCATCTATCACACACCTCACCTTCTATCGTTCCACCCATCATCACTCGACGCCCCGTATTCTCGAATGGGGATGGGAGAGGTACAAAAGCCAGCCCCCCTCCCAGCCTTAATGATGATGTGTCGAGACTCGAAAGCCGCGGTTCCAACCAACCGTCGGTTCCACCGCGCAAACCGACGGAAATTGACCATGGCAATGGTCAGTCGTCGGATTTCCACCGTCATCTTGGACTTGATAGCACAGCTTCCGGGAACCACAACGGCGACAACGCATCCACCCCTCATTTCAACGACCGTTTCCCCCATTTCAAGGCGAGAGCCTAAGGGCATTCGCAGGATACTAGAGGCTGTGTGATGAAATGCGCGCCGTCACGCCGAGCGACGGTTTTATACGGGACGATCATGACCGACTAAGACATAGTTGCGAGAACCTTTATGCGCTTCTACGGAGAACCAGTCCCACCATAAACTGCTGCTGTCTGCGCAGTGCGCATCCCAAGGCACGCCATGCGCCTATGTGTCGGCGCGAGGCGCCCAGGACATCTCAGCTTTCTTTCTAGAATCTGCGTCAGCTTCCCCTTTCCCACAATCCGCACGGGAATCCCCTTCTTCATAATTTGCTCCGAGTATTCTCGCCTGTTGCCACCTCATTCGACGAAAGGCGAGCGCCGAAAATTATCGATGCTCATTAGGTAGTTATCGTTTCTATTCGCGAATCCCTTCGGAAGAAGTAGCTAGTTCGTACCACGAGCGTATTACTTCGAGCTTCCTATAGTGGTACCATGACAGCTCATATAAACTAGCAGCTCATATCAAATAGCAAGTCAGCTACTCATGCAGATTACCGTGGTGAGCTTTTGACCTTCGCGTCACTCTATCACGACACGTCATCCAACCTACTACTCTCTACTTTTGGCACGATAGCCAAAGTAAAGCAGCTACTTCGTTTGCTTGAGTCCACTCCAATCTCACCCACGCCCTCACGCGTCACGAACCACTGCAATTCCTTCATCGTAACTCAAACCACTTCAATCACGTCCGCTTCAATCGCGCTGCCAAATCTCGTCGATACGCCTCCGTCCACTCGAAAGTAGCTTCGGACTAGGAAAAAAAAAGTCCAGCCCTCAAGATATGGTTCCAGTGCGGCCCCGCACGTCGAGGCAGATCTTCGCCCAGCCAGTCGCAGTCGTCGCCGCCCTTTTCGCCAGCCTATCGCTCCTGTCGCATGCGACGGCGGCGTCGTCCGGCAAGAAATGCGACATCACTGTCGGATCGTGCGTTACCGTTACCTTCTCACCCCAGAGTCATATATTGTTTTTCTACTAGTGTCCTCTCATCCTCGTTATTGTTAGAACGACCGGAATGCCGGTTGTTACCGTAATCTCTCTCGCGGTTTTACCACCTCAATTTTTTACTGTCGAAAATGAAGTATTTGCCACTAGTGCCCTCTTCCTCGCAACTATCTCTTTTCGTTTCCACCACTTATACCCTCCTCCTCTTCCCCTTTTCAGATGGGTTCCTTCGTCGAAGTATCCGCAGTATCAGAACGACTGTCCGTACATCACGGATAACTTCAACTGCATCAAGAACGGACGGCCGGATGGCGACTTCCAGCACCTCATCTGGAAACCCAACGGTTGTGATCTGACCATGTAAGGCTCAACCGAAGACTGCTTGAAGCTCCGACCTCTACTTCAATAGTCTTCTTCCAATGCTGCTTCATAAATCCTCTTTCTCCCTCAAACCCTCATCTCTTCCTCTCTCACACCTCTCTCTCACGTTTCTCACTCATACCTCTTCCTCTCTCTTCTCCCTCTTACCTCTTTCTTTCATTCCCCATCCCTCCTTCTTTTACCTCTATCGCTTCTCTCGTTCTTAATTTGTTCCTCTTCCTTTCTCACCCCTCTTTCTCTCGTATCCTTCTCGTGCTTACTCGCAGATTCAATCCCAAGTCGTTTGCGGCTCGGTTTGTGGGCCAAGCGGTTGCTATAGCGGGTGACAGCACCGGACAGTACCTTTACCAATCACTGCGATGCCGCATTAGCCAACACTACACTACAGAGGTAAGTGTTGAACGTATAGAAACAAACCCCAAATAGTAACAACCATCGAATCTCTAAAAAGCAATCCACATCCATCAAAAAGTGTACACTGTACAGAGAGCGACTGTAAATCGTCATGCTTTGTTCGAGAAAGGGTGTCGTGGTAATCCTACATGTTACCCTGTTTATAATCCTATATTCAATTGCAGGACTGGGATCCGAAACTAGCTGGGTGGACGGGCCAGGGCTTTAAGGTGAAGCTGCTGGGCACACGAGTCATTCTGGTGGACACTCCCTTCCTCATGGAGGCATGGCCGGATGTGGAGGTGAGAATTGCTGCTGTGGAGCATGGTAAATGGTATAGTGCATGAACGTGGTGCATGGTGAATGGTATAGTGCATAAACATGGTGCATGGTAGGGCACATGGTGTCATTCCAATGGACACTCCCTTCCTCATGGAGGCATGGCCTGATGTGGAGGTGAGAGTGAATGGAGGCGGGATTTTCTGCTATGGCGCATGGTGAATGGCATGGCGCATAAAGGAGCAGGGCACACGGTGTGTGGGTCATTCTGGTGGACACTCCCTTCCTCATGGAGGCATGGCCGGATGTGGAGGTGAGCGTTGCATGGTGCATGGTGCTCCAGTGCTCCTACGGGGCGTGAAGCAGCATGCCACATGGCATGTGGGCATGCTCCGTTCCTCATGGAGGCATGGCCGGATGTGGAGGTGAGCGTTGCAGGACGTTCCTATGGAATGAGCGTTGCTATGGTGCGGCGTGATGGGTATGGAGCACTGCAGCACGTATGGCTGGCTGCCAGCTGCCTTTTGAGTCGACTCAAAAGTCTCCTATGGAATGAATGAGCGGCGTGATGGGTATGGAGCACTGCAGCACGTAGTATGGCGGCCAGCTCAGAGCCGCTCAGCTCTCTAGCCTGCCGTAATACACCATACCGATGGTATATTATAAGTGCTGCGGCCGGGTGGACATCTCCATACTGATGGTAAGCTCTTAGTAGATGATATCCTCTCGGCCGATGGTATGGAGTACTGCGGCAATGGTATGGTATGGTATGGTATGGTATGGTATGGCTTCCATGGTACTCCGCTTCTCATGTCGGGGCATGGCCGGTTTTTTGAGACGTCTCAAAACACTCCTTCCATGGTACTCCGCTTCTCATGTCGGGGCATGGCCGGTTTTTTGAGACGTCTCAAAACACTCCTTCCATGGTACTCCGCTTCTCATGTCGGGGCATGGCCGGATATGTAGGCTCTCTGACCCCTGCCCTCTCCCCTGTGCCCTCTGCCCTCTGCCCTCTGATATATCCCCCTCTTCCCACTCCCCCCTCTCTCCCCTCTTCTCCACAGGGTGAGTCCAAGTCCTCTCACCTCTGGCACATGCAACTGGGCACAATCAACCTCAAGATCCTCGAGATGCTGTCCAATATCCCCCAGCTTAAAGCCTCTCCTCCTCTCTTCTCTTCTATTGCTCTCTCTCTCTCTCTCTCTCTCTCTCTCTCTCTCTCTCTCTCTCTCTCTCTCTCTCTCTCTCTCTCTCTCTCTCTCTCTCTCTCTCTCTCTCTCTACTCCTCCCGTCCCTCAGGGCGAATCTAAAGCCTCGCACTTCTGGCACGTGCAGCTGGGCACCATCAACCTCAAGATCCTCGAGATGCTCCCCCCTTGTTTCCAGGCTTAAGCATCCTCTCTCCTCTGCTCTTCTCTCTACTCCTCCCGTCCCTCAGGGCGAGTCCAAGGCCTCTCACCTCTGGCACGTGCAGCTGGGCACAATCAACCACAAGATTCTCGAGATGCTGCCTAAAATCCCCCAGCTTAAATCCCTGATTCTCGTTGCCAGCAATTACTTTTTACCCCAGCCAGCCACTACCACCAGCAGCGTCAACAACAGCGCGTACAGCAGCTATATCAGCAATCAGAGGATTTATTACTCCCAGGGAAAGCCGCTTTCGCCTCAGCCTACACCTCAAGACGCGTTATCAACTGCGCTTAAAGCGGTATCAAGTTATTTTGATAAGAATTTCCAGCTGGTTCGGCCGTTTTTTCTCACCATGCCGCCGTCTCACAACCCGAATATGTTTCGATATGCGGCTACCACATGCGGGCTGTTCGCATCCCCTTTACAAGCTGACGCGATGCGCTACGCAGAGGCTCGGAGCGACGCCACTGGCTGGACAGCAGTGCAACGGCAAGCGTTATCCAAATCGAAAATCAAACTCCTGGATGTGTTACAAATGTCGATGTACCGAGCGGATGGCCACATGGCAGCATACGGACCCCCTCCAGATGCAAGCGAGATGGATTGCGTGAAATGGTGCCTTCCGGGGGTGCCAGACGCGTGGGTCGACGTGTTTTTCCACAAGATTGTACACCCGTTCGGGGGATACGGCCCCGACCCGCTGCTTTCGGATAGCATTTGGAAGAAGCTTGGTAGGAAGCTGCCGTGGCCGAAAAAGGGACGGCCGGGGAAGCCGTTTGGAGAGAAGGTTGGGAGTAGGAATGGGACAAGGTTGGTGGATGGGAGCGGGAGTGGGAGCACCAGCATCGGCGCTGGCAGCAGCAGCAGCAGCAGCTCAGGCAACAGTGCCGGTAGTAGCAGCAGCGGAAGCAAGAGTGCAAGCAGCGAAGTCAGGAAGTCGCTGAACAGGCTCTTTCTGAAGCAGCATGGAGGCAGATAGGCCTTATACGTGCAGCTTGACACATTTGGACTGCGCTGTGAGATATCGCTTAACTGCTTCCTTGTTGCACAAACACAAGTGCTGGTAGCAGCAGAAGCACCTTGCCGGAAGCAAGAGAGTGCAACCAGCAAGGTCACTTGGCTGGTCGATGCAGCATGGATGCAGCTTGGCAATCTACCGTAACACAAGGACAGCCCATTCACGGGCTGCTAACAACACATAAAATAATGATGGCCTGTACACTCTCCATCCATGTAGTGTCCATGTATGCTGTAGGTGGCATGTAGTGACACTAAGGCGCATGTGTGGTAGGAAAGTTCGCATATATATACATTACGGCCAAGCTGTGTGCCTTGCACAGGATTACACATGTTCTGATTATGCACATTTCACCTTGATATTAGTTCCTCACGACCCAGTGTCCATATCCTGGTGCATGGACAGCTTCTGGGCAATGGAGATATACCTTTCATTGCAACACTTAACCTCACTAAGAAGCAAACACCTTTCAACCCATATATACATACAGAAGGAAGCAAACGCCATATATACATACAGAAGGATGCAGTTGCCTCTTTCTGAATCTGCACCAGCCAGAGGTTTTAAAAACACCATGCTGTCTCCTGTCGTACAGCAGTTCCATCAGCTCAGTCCTTGGGCGCAGGCACGGGCAGCGGCAGGTGAAAGCCCCCCACAGAGCGCACCGGCCACACCACAATCAGGTGGGCGGGCCTCCTGACCCGCAAAGGTAGGGGGTAGAACCGCACTGCCTCCTGTCATACAGCACTTCCATCAGCCCAGCCGACGGGCGCAGGCGCGGGCAGCGGCAGGTGAAAGCCCCCCACAGAGCGCACCAACCACACCACCATCAGGTGGGCGGTTCTACCACCCACCAGGACCTCCTGACCCGCAAAGGCAGGTGGTAGAACCGCACTGCATCCTGCAGTACCTCGGGGTGCTGGTAGGTGGGGAGAAGAGGGTGGGTGGGGTGAGATGGGAGGTGCGGTGACTTAAGAGTCGAATCAAATGCCACACCACCATCAGGTGTAGAACCGCACTGCCTCCTGCCGTACCTAGGGTCCTGGTGGGTGGGGAGAATAGGGTGGGTGGGGTGAGATGGGAGGTGCGGTCACAGATGCGCATGCCACAGATGGGCATGCCACAATGCGCGCTATTGCCGGTAGCAGCAGCGGTGGAAGCAAGAGTTCAAGAAGCAAGGTGCCTGTCTTGAGGGTCTCTGAACTCACTCCTAGCAGGATAGGCTCTTCCGGAGGCAGCACGGAGGAGGACAGGTGATACCGGTTTATAAGAGGTTGTCAGGGTCAGTGACAGTGTGCTTTGCTAATACAGGGTACCTCAGCTCGCATGTGTACCTTGCATAATAGGACCCGTGTACAGGAAAATTCTTAACTGTATCAGTGTCTGTCTGTCTGCCCTGTGAAGAAGCACAAAAGCATTTGTAGCATCAACCCCATTTCAACACCATCTGACAGGTGTGCTGATTCTGGGGTGCGTCACACTGCCAAAAAAAGACGAAATGAAGATTAACCATATCAAAGAATTTCACTAGGAACCAAATAGTACATCGCCACCATACAATCAGGTCACATCGGCATACCGTAAAAGGAACACCATTGCCCCTCCTCCGAATCCTTACCCGCACCCCATTCCAACAGCAGCTTGCTGCTACCCTCCCTCATCTTGCTGCTGCTCCATCCTCCGCTGCTCCCACACCCCACCATCTGCTGCCATCCTCTCCTCTCCTCTCCTCTGCCTCCTCACAGCGAAATATGATTGCCCCTCCTCCGAATCCTCACCCGCACCCCGTGCTTTGGTCGGAGGTTCAACCCAGATTCCAGCGGCAACTTGCTGCTGTCTATCCCTCTCCCGCTTCACAATGGAATACCATTGCCTCTCCTTCGAATTCTCACACGCACACCATCTTTCGGCCGAAGGTTCAGCCCAGATTCCAGCGGCAGCTTGCTGCTATCCTCCCTTGTCTTGCTGCTTGCACTCCGTCTGATGCCCTCCTCTCCTCTGCCGTCTTTCGGCCAAAGGTTCAACCCAGATTCCAAAGGCAACTTGCTGCTATCCACCCTTGTCTTGCTGCTCGCACTGCCCCATTTGCTTCCCTCCTCCGCATCCTCACTCCCTCCCCGTTTCCTTCCCCTTTCTTCAGCGTCAGTCTCACTTGCGTTGAGACGTCTGGAAGCATATGGGGTGTCAGATACTGATGTGATGTCAAATACCCGCAGCAGCAGCGCAAGGCAGAGCTTGATTTCCATCATTGCAAATCGTGCCCCGATGCACATGCGGGGACCGGCACCGAAAGGCAAATACATGGCTTCTGACTCGGCCGTCCACAGCACCTCCTCGTGTTCCTTTCCTTCTCCTCTCTCTTCACTCTTGATCGATTCTGCACCCTCCTCGCCCCTTCCTTCCCCCACTTGCCCTTCTGCCTCCTCTTCCCTCCCTCCCTCCTTCCACCCAACTCCCTTCTCACCTGCTGCCCGCTGACCGAAACGTTCGGGCAGAAAAGAAAGCGGCCGGGGGAAGAAATCCGGGCAGCGGTGGGCAGCGAAAATCGGGACCACAACGGGTGTATTCGCAGGGATGTGGTAACCAGCCAGAGTCGTTGCATGGACGGGCAGCCGGGCAGCTATAGGGGCAGCAGGGTACAGCCTAAGTGTTTCTTTTACAACCATATCAAGATACTTAAGCACTTCTAAGCCTTTAAATAAAGACCTATTTTTAAAAACAGGGGGTGAGTCATCGAACCTTCTTCGCCCAATCTCCCCTGGCCCCCTCTCCCCCTTCCCCTCTCCCTCCTCTTCCCCCTCCCCCTCTCCCTCCCCCTCTTCCTCCCCTTTCCCCTCCCCTTTTACCTCTCCCGCCTGCTCCCTTTCCTCGAAGTACCTGTCGATTTCAGCCTGAAGCTTCCGTGAAACGTCCGGGTGCTGAGTCAGCATGTGGACGGCAAATGCCAGCGTGGACGATGTGGTCCCCACTCCGGCGCCCAGGAGGCCAAAGAGAATCAGAGGCAGGTCGGAATCGGCCAGTCTTGCTCCTGTGCCCTTGTCTCGGAAGCTGGAAGGCAGAGGGGAGGGGAGGGGGTCCGGGGGACAATCAGAGTAAAGCCAGGGTGGATGATGTGCTTCCACTCCCGCGCCCAGGAGGCCACATGGATCAGAGGGAAGTCGGATGCAATCCTGCCCCTGTGCCTTTCTCTTGGAAGCTGGGAGGCAGAGGGGAGGGGAGGGGGTCCGGGGGACAATGAGAGTAAAACCAGGGTGGACGATGTGGTTTCCACTCCGGCACCCAGGAGGCCAAAGAGGATCAGAGGGAAGTCAGACTCGTGCAGACCTGTGGTAATCAGTTTTGAGAATTCTCAAAAGAGGATCAGAGGGAAGTCAGACTCGTGCAGACCGGCGGAAATCACTTTTGAGAATTCTCAAAAGAGGATCAGAGGGAAGTCAGACTCGTGCAGACCGGCGGAAATCACTTTTGAGAATTCTCAAAAGAGGATCAGAGGGAAGTCAGACTCGTGCAGACCGGCGGAAATCAATTTTGAGAATTCTCAAAAGAGGATCAGAGGGAAGTCAGACTCGTGCAGACCGGCGGAAATCACTTTTGAGAATTCTCAAAAGAGGATCAGAGGGAAGTCAGACTAGTGCAGACTGGCGGAAGGGGGGCAGATGTGCTGTGGTGCCCTTGTCTCCTTTTGAGTCGACTCAAAAGCAGATGTGCTGTGGTGCCCTTGTCTCCTTTTGAGTCGACTCAAAAGCAGATGTGCTGTGGTGCCCTTGTCTCCTTTTGAGTCGACTCAAAAGTGATGTGCTGTGGTGCCCTTGTCTCCTTTTCAGTCGACTCAAAAGTGATGTGCTGTGGTGCCCTTGTCTCCTTTTGAGTCGACTCAAAAGTGATGTGCTGTGGTGCCCTTGTCTCCTTTTGAGTCGACTCAAAAGTGATGTGCTGTGGTGCCCTTGTCTCCTTTTGAGTCGACTCAAAAGTGATGTGCTGTGGTGCCCTTGTCTCCTTTTGAGTCGACTCAAAAGCAGATGTGCTGTGGTGCCCTTGTCTCGGAAAATGTGAGGCAGGTTGGTAAGGTAAGGGGGGAAGGAAAAAGGGGGCGATTACCCATAAGGTCCCCACACCGGCGCCCAGGAGGCCAAAGAGGACACAAGGGAGGTTGGACTTGGGGCGAAGTGACATGCATGCTATGTCAATTTAACTTTTGAGAATTCTCAAAAGTGAAATTCACATAGGGAGGTCGGACTTGGGGCGAAGTGACATGCATGCAGTACAGAATGAAAGACGTGCTTGTGAGTGCGTGTGCCTGTGAGTGCGTGTGCCTGTGAGTGCGTGTGCCTGTGAGTGCGTGTGCCTGTGAGTGTGTGCTGTCTGTGAGAGCGGGTTTGTGCAAATATGTACACGATGTTGTTTGCGTGTGTGTATTGTTTTGTTTTTTGCTTTTTTTGTTTTGTTTTTTTTTGTTTGGTCTGTCACCCTGATGTACCTTTTGAGAAAGGTCAGTATGTCAGCAGCGCTGCTGTTGCCTTGAGACGGTTGCTGCCTCTTTGCTTCCAGCATCCGCTGGTGAGAAAGGGAGGAGTTGGAGGGGAGAGATGGGGGGGGGTTATACGGGGGAGAGATGGGTGGATGGCAGGGTCAGATGCGGGAGTGGGAGGAGAGTGTTGCCTTGCGACTGTTGTTGGCATAGCGAGAACGTGGTACCTCTGGGCACCGCACTCAACACCTCTCACTCACCTTCCACTCCAGCATCAGCTCACGATGTCTCTCCCTCGCTGCACCCACAGTGCTCCCAGGCAGCACACCCAGCAGCGCATGCACCCAGGGGCATAGCGAGAACGTGGTACCTCTGGGCACCGCACTGAACACCTTAGTTGCTAAGTGCTGCCTCAAACCTCTCACCTTCCATTCAAGCATCAGCTCTCGGTGTCTCTTCCTCGCTGCACCCACGGTGCTCCCAGGCAGCACACCCAGCAGCGCATGCACCCAGGGGCATAGCGAGAACGTGGTACCTCTGGGCACCGCACTGAACACCTTAGTTGCTAAGTGCTGCCTCAAACCTCTCACCTTCCATTCAAGTATCAGCTCTCGGTGTCTCTTCCTCGCTGCACCCACGGTGCTCCCAGGCAGCACACCCAGCAGTGCATGCACCCAGGGGTGCAGGCACGGAGGGGAGAGGGCCACGAGGAGAAGCTTTCAAGGCACCTCACCTCAAAACATAGTAACACCCAGGCACCGCACTGAACACCTCCTCACTTTCCACTCCAGCATCAGCTCACGATGTCTATCCCTTGCTGCGCCCACGGTGCTCCCAGGCAGCACACCCAGCAGCGCATGCACCCAGGGGTGCAGGCGCGCAGGGGAGAGGGCCAGGAGGAGCGAAGGGACGCAGCACAACACACCCAAACCTCCTCACCTTCCACTCCAGCATCAGCTCTCGGTGTCTCTCTCTTGCAGCGCCCACGGTGCTCCCAGGCAGCACACCCAGCAGCGCATGCGCCCAGGGGTGCAGGCATGCAGGGGAGAGGGCCAGGAGAAGCGATGAGAGCGCCCCTAGCTTCGCCCCTGCCTGCTCGTTCGCCCCGTATGCCCGTGCCAGGGAGGCAGTGTGCGGTGCAGCAGTGTGTAGTGCGGTAGAGTGTGCTGCTGTGTGTGGTGGTAATGTGGTGTGAGGAGGTGCAGGTTCAGTAGTGCTGCTGTGCGCCCCTAGCTTCGCCCCTGCCTGCTTGTTTGCCCCAGTGTCGGCTGTCGCAGCTGTGAGTGTAGCAGTTCTGTCCTGCTGGAACCACAGGTCTTCACCAAAGCAAGCAGCACCAATAGACGCCAGGGCGGCAGTGTGCGGTGCAGCAGTGTGGAGTGCGGCAGTGTGGGGTGCTGTGTGTGTGTCAGCACTGTCCTGCTGGAACCACAGGTCGTCACCAAAGCAAGCAGCACCAATAGATGCCAGCCCCACTGCTTCAAACATGCCCATCAAATCCACCTCCACCCACCCCTTCTCGCTACCTCCTCCCTCTCGTTGCTCCTTTTCCCTTTCCTCACCCCGTCCTCCCTTTTGGTTCTCCCTCTCCTCGCCCCGTCCTCCCTCCGTCCCTCCCACCTCTTGTGCCCCCGACCCCCCTCGTCGTTCTCTCCCTCCCTCCTCTTGCGTCCCTGCCCTCGTTTGTGTCGCATCCCACAACGGCAGCAGCAGCATATGGAGAACGGAACGGTGCATTCCGGAAAGGAAGGAGTGGAGATGGGTGGAGCGGTGGAACATGGGAGTGAGAGCGCTCCTCAAACCAGCCCAGTGGTTACCCCTAGAAGGAAGGAGAGAGAAGGGAGGGGGAAGGGAGTGGGATTGAGTGAGTGGAAGGGAGAGAGAGAGAGGGAGGGACGGCAGCATCATGTGGACCACAGATAGGTGCAGCATGCCCACTGGTGACTGCATTGGCTGCACCTATCTGGGGAAAAAAAGATTGGAGATGGGTGGGAAAGGTAGAACAAGGGAGTCAAAACGAGCCCACTGGTGGCTGCTGGAAGGAAGAGGAACAGGGGTTGGAATAAAAAGCAGTTGTGCATGGGACAAAAGGTGCAACGAAAGGATGGTACGAAAGGTGGGAGGAGGGAATCTGAACTCACCGAGCAAACAGCAGCCCCCGGCCAGTGGTGGGGCTGGCAGTGGGAGGCACGGGTGCACGGGGCAATCATGGAAGTCGTGTAGTGATTCAGAGTGAACCCACAGCGATGGTGCAAGCAAGGGGATGAGGGACGGAAGGGATACTCACCGAGCAAACAGCAGCCCCCGGCCAGTGGTGCGGCTGGCGGTGGGAGACATGGGGCCATGGTGAGAGGCAGCGGCGATTCAGTTTGGAGTGAACCCGCAGCAGTTGGGGATGGGGATGGGGGATGCGGGGGACACTCACCGAGCAAACAGCAGCCCCCGGCCAGTGGTGCGGCTGGCGGTGGGAGACATGGGGCCATGGTGAGAGGCAGCGGCGATTCAGTTTGGAGTGAACCCGCAGCAGTTGGGGATGGGGATGGGGGATGCGGGGGACACTCACCGAGCAAACAGCAGCCCCCGGCCAGTGGTGCGGCTGGCGGTGGGAGGCATGGGGCCATGGTGAGAGGCAGCGGCGATTCAGTTTGGAGTGAACCCGCAGCAGTTGGGGATGGGGATGGGGGATGCGGGGGACACTCACCGAGCAAACAGCAGCCCCCGGCCAGTGGTGCGGCTGGCGGTGGGAGACATGGGGCCATGGTGAGAGGCAGCGGCGATTCAGTTTGGAGTGAACCCGCAGCAGTTGGGGATGGGGATGGGGGATGCGGGGGACACTCACCGAGCAAACAGCAGCCCCCGGCCAGTGGTGCGGCTGGCGGTGGGAGACATGGGGCCATGGTGAGAGGCAGCGGCGATTCAGTTTGGAGTGAACCCGCAGCAGTTGGGGATGGGGATGGGGGATGCGGGGGACACTCACCGAGCAAACAGCAGCCCCCGGCCAGTGGTGCGGCTGGCGGTGGGAGGCATGGGGCCATGGTGAGAGGCAGCGGCGATTCAGTTTGGAGTGAACCCGCAGCAGTTGGGGATGGGGATGGGGGATGCGGGGGACACTCACCGAGCAAACAGCAGCCCCCGGCCAGTGGTGCGGCTGGCGGTGGGAGACATGGGGCCATGGTGAGAGGCAGCGGCGATTCAGTTTGGAGTGAACCCGCAGCAGTTGGGGATGGGGATGGGGGATGCGGGGGACACTCACCGAGCAAACAGCAGCCCCCGGCCAGTGGTGCGGCTGGCGGTGGGAGGCATGGGGCCATGGTGAGAGGCAGCGGCGATTCAGTTTGGAGTGAACCCGCAGCAGTTGGGGATGGGGATGGGGGATGCGGGGGACACTCACCGAGCAAACAGCAGCCCCCGGCCAGTGGTGCGGCTGGCGGTGGGAGGCATGGGGCCATGGTGAGAAGCAGAGGCGATTCAGTTTGGAGTGAACCCACATCAGTTGTGCAAGGGGATGGGGAATGTGAGGGACACGCACCGAGCAAACAGCAGCCCCCGGCCAGTGGTGGGGCTGGCAGTGGGAGGTATGGGGCGGTCGTGGAATGTCTTGAAGCGACGGAGCAGAACCTCTTTCACTAGAGCAGGGGACGACACTGCCACCACTCGGCGAGGGCCATAGCAGTAGCTGAAGGAATGGCGGGTGTGAGTGCAGGGGGTACGAGACAGGGATGACAGGGAGGACAGGGAGGCAAGGGACTGTCATGGAATGTTTTGAAGCGACAAAGCAGAACCTCCTTCACGAGAGCAGGGCAGGACACTTCCTCCACACAGCGAGGGCCGTAGCAGTAGCTGATGGAGAGACAGGCGGGTTGAGAGTGAATGAGGCGCTGCATGGTGATGAATTGATGAGACAAAACCTCTTTCACGAGAGCAGCGGAGGACACTTCCTCCACACGGCGAGGGCCGTAGCAGTAGCTGATAGAGAGGGTGGGGAAGAGAAAAGGAGAAGCGATGAGATGGAATAGGGGCTGTGGAATGTCTTGAACTGGCAAAAAAGCAAAAAGCAAAAAGCAAAAATCAAAAAAAGCAAAAAAGGAACCTCCTTGACATGAGTCTGCTTTTGAGTCGACTCAAAAGCAAAAAAGGAACCTCCTTGACATGACGCTACCTGCCACCACATGGCGAGTACATGGTGGTAGGTACTCAAAGACCGTAGCAGTAGCTGGAAAGACTTTTGAGACGTCTCAAAAGTCGTCTACCTGCCGCCACATGGCGAGTACATGGTCGTAGGTACTCAAGACCGTAGCAGTAGCTGAAAGAAGGGTGGGTGGGAGACATGGCAGTTGAGAGTCGTGGAAGGGGAGGAGCGGGAGGGATTGGTTGACTTGGAAACTACAGCAGGAGCACCACACATACATGACCGCAGCACAAGACAGAGCACCTTACAGCACCGCACAGAACCTTACACTCACGAGTAGAGGTGGCCGTGTGCTGCCATCCAGTCCACGTGGCACTGATGGTGACCCTTGCTAACGATCTTGATAACATTCCCCACCACCCCCACTCCCACTGCCTGAGTTCACTGCGGGAAGCACCGAACCGCACACCGCACAATACCACCCACAACTGCGCCGTACCACATAGCAACGCACACTCACGAGTAGAGGTGGCCATGAGCAGCCATCCAGTCCACGTGGCACTGATGGTGACCCTTGCTCACGATCTCTGGCACGTTCCCCACAACTCCTAGAATCCGAAGCCACCACGGCACAGGGGGACCTTGCATTTCCCGTAAGCCTCTCACCCTCTCCTCCTTCTCTGCATTTCCCTTCTTTTCCTTTCCCTCGTCTCCCCTTGCCTCTACTTGTTTCCCTCTTTTTCCCTCTCCACCCTTTCTCTCCCCCTCTTCACTCATTACGCCACTCTCCCTCCTCCCTTCCATTTGTCCATCTCCCCCAGGATCTTTTTCCGAAATTCCCGCCGTTGATCGCGGCACGAGAGAGCGCAGGTGGAGAAGAAGCAGGACGAGGATCGCGAGGAGAATCACGGCGACGACGGCGAGCGCTGCGATGACGAGCGACTGCGCCGGCGACTGCGCCGGCGACGTCGTCGTCGTCGTCGTCGTCAAGCGGATGACCAGAGAGGAGGTTTTCGCGAGCGCGACCGCGACTGCGAACGCTGTGACGCCGACGGGAAACGCTGCGCCAGGGAGCGATACTCGAGCGGCGAGGGAATTTCGCGAACTGCTGTTATCTCTGCTGTTATTATCCATTGCGGAAGATTCTTCATTTGACTGCGAATGCGAAACATTCCTTAGAGAGGATAGAGAGTCGCGGTCAACGGATGTCGTATCAGGGCTAACTCCTCCACCCTTAGCAGCGTCGTTTGGGCCTTTGGGAACTGCTCGTCGCACTGGGTTGGTGAGATTCCTAAAGCCGGTGGCCGATTCGGAAGCCATCACCTTCGGGATCAGGATTCAAACAATCATCAACTGGATTGAGATTACGGGACGAAGGTACTTAGACAGGGAAGGCAGCTTGGCTTCTTCAATCGTCGTGAGTCTTCGCGAAATGTAGTCTCTAGATTCCTGGGGGTTTTTATTTCGCAAGTGCGTGGCGGAGTTCCAGTCGTACTTTCCTGTCCTACGTCTGCACTCTGACAGAGGTGGCGAGTTTTACTCTGACCTCTTGGCAGCCTACTGTGCGGAGCACGGCATCCGCCACACGTTCACTCTCTCGGCCTCTCCACAGCAGAATGGGGTTGTTGAGCGCCGCATTGGTCTCATCATGGAGGTTGCTCGTACCTCCATGACCCATGCGGCTGCATGTCGCCGATTCCCTATAAGCTCGTGGCACAACCGCCGTAGCGGTTTTTTACTTTCGGACAAAAAACACCTATATTAACTAATTATTGTACAACAATTTGATGGAAACAACTAAGGCCCATCTTGTACCCCCACTGATGCCCCTACAAGGAAAACGGCGTTCCCGCTTATTCCCTCCATACCGTCCGCTTCCGCAACGTCTTGATTCATGGGCCCATATTTCAAATCCACATTTCTAGTTGCACCAGCAACACCGGTACTACTTAGCTTCTTATAAGCCTGAATTGATCGATCGGCTTCAACTGGAGGGCCAAGCTCGCTGCCTTTGAGCCAACACTCATGAGCGCGTGTGGTAACCACAAGGTTACACCTTGCATCAAGTTTGCATTGCTCCATACATGCTAATGGATGGAGCGGGTAATGATATGTTAGGTTCGAGGCAGTGGGGAAGTCGATTGCAGGAGGAGCAGGTGCAAAACCGTGACCTGGATGGGAGTGAAAGCAATGGAAAAGGGGGGGGGGAAGGAGGAAGATTGCAAATAAGTGAGACGGGTAATAATATGTTAGGTTGGTGGGGCAGGTGCAAAGAAGCGACCTGGTTTGAGTAGTGGTGTAGAATAGGGGTTTCAGTGGTGAAGGAGTGATGGGCAAGCACACAGGAACATGAAGAATTCAAGAGTGGAAACTAGTTTCATCATCACTCTGATCATATGCGATATCAAATGGAAGAGATGTATGCGGGAAACTAGTTGCATGAGGGGAAAAACACAGAGGTTGCAAAGCTGAACACTGAAGCTGAAGCACGTTACTTGCCGGGAGTATCCCCCTGCGTTACCATGGTTTACCATGCGAATCACTGTGCTCTCCTTACCATGAGGATCGATGCAAACGGTCGTCTTCCTCTCCACGTCAACTTGACACACCAGCGACCCGCACCCGCCATTATTCAACGAGCAACTCTCCGACTCCCGTGCCAGCTCATCCCAATACCCCAAGCTCGTCTCCATATACTCGCGCTCGCTCGTCGCATACACTCCCCGATCCACCGCTATAGTCACATTCGGCGCCTCATAGCCCTCGGGAATCCACAGCTTGTCCGCCTGCTTGCTGGCGTAATACGATTGGACGGCCTTGCTGACGCACTTGCCAGCCTGGCAGTGCCCCGTGTAGGAGTTGCCGCCCCAGTCGAAATCCGCGCAGGCGGACCCGTCTTTTTTCTGCCCGAGATTCACGCACTTTCCGGCGATGCACGTGGGGGCAATGATGCATGGGGTGGCCCGGGTGGTCACACACTTGACACAGGCGTCTGGTTTGGAAGGGTAGAGGGGAAAAGAGAAGGGGATAGATTGGGCAGGGGAGGGTTTGAGAAGGGATGCGTGTGGGGGCGATGACGCAGGGGGTTCCTCGGGTGGTTACACACTTGACACCTACTGACTGCCCTCCTTACTGCCCTGCCACCCACATTGCCCTGCCACCCACACTGCCCTGCCACCCACACTGCCCTGCCACCCACATTGCCCTGCTCCTTCTCTGCCCATCACTCACCATCGCGGTACATGGGGTGCACAAACGACACAACCATGTTGAGCACTCCCGAGGGGTCGTACTTGGCCAAGTCCTCCAAATTCACCACCGTGTTTAGCAGCCGCACCAGGACACGGGCTCTGTCCCGTACCCCCTTACTGCCCTCCATACTGCCCTGCCACTCCCGACGGGTCGTACTTGGCCAAGTCCTCCGCATTCATCACCGTGTCTAGCACGCACTGCTGATTGATAGGAGTGCCCCCACTCCTCACATCACACACAGCATCCCTGCTGCCCGTCCCATACCCCCATTACCCCAACTACTCACCATCGCGGCACATGGGATGACCGAAGGAGACAACCATGTTGAGCACGCCCGAGGGGTCGTACTTGGCCAAGTCCTCCACGTTCACCACCGTGTCCAGTAATCGCACTGCTGATACCAGTGCCCTCGCTGCTTTCCTAATGGGTTGGCTCATCACTGAGTGGGAGGCGCGGAAGGTGGAGAACGCTGCTTGCTTGTCCTGAAGGATAGGAGGGGGGCGGATGTGTGGGAAGAGAGGGGGAACGAGGAGAGAGATGAGAGGGAGTGAGCCAAGTCCTCCACGTTCACCACCGTGTCCAGTAATCGCACTGCTGATACCAGTGCCCTGGCTACTTTCCCAATGGGTTGGCTCATCACTGAGTGGGAGGCGCGGAAGGCAGAGAAGGCTACTTGCTTGTCCTGGGGTGTTGGGAGGAAGAAGGGGGGTGGGGAAGAAGGAAGCGGGGATAACGGGGGAGAAAGGAGGGGTAAGGAGTGGGCCCAAACCTCCACATTCAGCACCGCGTCGAGTAGTCGTACTGTTGATACCAGCGCCCTGGCTGGTGTAAGGGAGGAGAGGCAGTGAGGTAGGGAACAGGCCAAGTCCTCCACATTCAGCACCGTGTCGAGTAGTCGTGCTGCCAATACCAACGCCCTGGCTGCTTTCCCAATGGGTTGGTGCATCACCAGTGGGAGGCGCCGAAGGCAGAAAACGCTGCTTGCTTGTCCTGGGGTGTTGGGAGGGAGAGGGAGAGAGGGAGAGAGGGAAGAGGGGAGGAGGGAGGTATGAAGTCAGGTAGGGAGAGAGGCACGAAGGCAATTGGGACTCCAGCACTCAGTATTCCTCTTTTGAGATTTTTCAAAAATGACTCCCAAATTCTCGAAAGAATTATCAAAAAAGTGCCTTTCAGAGTTCTCAAAAGGTAGGGAGAGAGGCAAGAAGGCAAGAGGGACTCCAGCACTCACTATTCCCCTAGCCCCCACTTCCCCTACATCCCTTGCCCCCTCCCTTCACACTCGCACCAGGGCATGCGGGGAAACCAAGGTGACGTGCGTGCGGCTGTATTTGCTGACAGGCTCCTCGAACGCAGCAAGGAAGGTGGCGGCCTGAGAGAGACCGAGAGAGGGTGAGGGGCCTACCTGCGCGTGTGCAGGGACCAAGGTGACGTGCGTGCGGCTGTCGTTGCTGACAGGCTGGCCGAACGCAGCAAGGAAGGTGGCGGCCATGCTTCGAGACTCCATAGTCTCCAGCTCGATACTGGCATAGTCCTTGCGCTTCCTGTACTTGGACGGCTTCACTCGCCTGTACAGCTGTTTGGTTAAGGCGGGACCATAATAGAAAGAAAGAGGAAAAGAAGAAGGCAGGTGGGCAGCTCGATACGGGAATAGTCCTTGCGCTTCCTGTACTTGGACGGCTTCACTCGCCTGTATAGCTGTTGATTGAGTAAGTAGGAATAACGAAAATAGGTCTGATTATGAGGTGGCTACAGTGAGATCAGGTACCCTACAGCGAAACATCATGCAATACCATTCAGTGCCATGCCATGTGCGCCGTTCCCATACCGTGCCATACTGTGCCGTACCGTGCCATACCATGCCATACCATGCCGTTCCGTGCCAAAACATGCCGTACTGTGCCGTACCTTGGCAGCAAAGGCTCCCAGCTTCATGGCAATGTCAAAGAAAGGGCCAGTTCCCGGTAGGTAGAGCTGGGATATGGGGAGGGCAGGGGAAGAGGAGAGGAGAGACACTGTTAAGCGTGTTCTGGCACTTAAAAATATGAAATCAAGGCTCCCAGCTTCATGGCAATGTCAAGGAAAGGGCCTGTTCCGGGTAGGTAGACCTGAGGAGGGATGAGGGAGGAGGAAAGGCACCATGCTCAACCGAGCTAAACCGTGTTACGACTTGGTTCAAGTCTAAAAACAAGGCACCCAGCTTCATGGGAATGTGGAAAAGGGTAAGTATAGGTGTTATGCGGTGGGGAAGGGGGGAGAGAGAGAAGAGGGAGAGTGGGTGGGAGAGATTTCATGGGAATGTGGAAAAGGGTAAGTATAGGTGTGATGCGGTGGGTTTGGAAGGGGGGGAGTGGGGGAGAGCGAGAAGAGGGTGAGTGGGTGAGGAAGATTTGATCTCTTCTGATTCTCAAAACAAGTAACCCAGTTAGCCCCAATGTCGGGGGCGAGAGGAGGGGGGCGAAGGGAAGGGGGCGAGGGGCGAGGGCGCGAAGGGAAGGGGGCAAGGGGTGAGGGCGCGAGGGGCGAGGGGGCATACCTTAAAGAAGAAGAAGCTGAAAGCTCCAGCCTGACGGTACGTCGTCTTGACGCACATGTGGTAATCCGGCGCGCACCCGTACCCGCAGTCCACCCAGCTAGGCCCGTACAGCGTGCATCGCCGCGCGCAAACTGGGCCTTTCCCCTTATACCCCGGAGCGCAGCTGTCGTAGCACGCGCCGGCGCTTTTCACGGTCCCGCTGGGGCATCGCCGCCGATTGCGGCCCGCTTTTAGCGCCGCGAGAGCCGCTGGTTGCCGCGTGTACATGTCCCGATAACAGAAGATGTACGAACTCTTTCGCTTTCGCTGCTTGCGCTTTCGCCACAACTGAAGCTCGCGCCGGGGACCCGTCGCGGATGTCGCGTTGGTCGGTGGTAACCCGAGAGACGAGCTCCTTATTTCTGGCACATTTCTGTTCGTATCAACATTTTGAGTCGCCTTAACAATCACCACGTCGTCTCTTTCCATGGGTGTCGAATCATCCCGACCCGAACTGCTGAATTGCGAATCTTGCACGCTTGCCACGCTGCGGGTGTCGACTCTATGCGGGGAAAGAGGAAAGGCATGAGCGGCATGACAAGGCGGAGTAATTTCTAGAAAAAGGAGCAGGACTGCTAGTAGTGGTAAGGCTAGCATTCGAGCAAGAGGGAGCAGCGAGGAAGAGACGTTCGAACGGCGTTGAGAACGTAAAGGAGAAGAGTGCTGGATTTCTTGTTCTCGGACTGCTAACTGTTGTCGAACGTCGCGCGCAGGATCGCCGCCTTCTCCCGTGCGGGTTTCTGCTAGGAGGCGAAAACGGGAGAAACCCATTGGCGGTGCTACCGGGTAGTGCTACTGGCACTAGAGCTATCGCTGGGTAGTGCTAACGGCAGAAATCTGCGTGAAATACGCCGAGAGCCGAAACGCTAAGAGTGCGGTGATCCGTTACCAGAGGCAGCAGCGCGCAGCTCTTTTTTTGCCCACGAGTCTGTTTTTGAGCCGAAATGCTGAGAGTGCGGTGATCCGTTACCAGAGGCAGCGCGCAGCAATCCTCAAGTCGTCGAGACTTGGTTCCTATAAATGTCGGACCCTTGCGACAGCAAATGCGTGGCAAATGCGTGGCTTTTGGGGTGCTTCGGAATGAACTTCGGCTCAGAAGCTACCTCTCGGCTAAAAAACAGAACCAGTTTTTATGAATCGAGCGAGCCCTCCTTGCGAGAGAAAAGAGCGCGGGAAATGCCGAGCCTAGAGGGCTTATGTAGAGCGCGCCATGCGTTCGTCAGCAAATGAACGCCCATGTCCGGGTTTACTTATGTCACTCTAATGCAACTCTGTCTGATGGCTGTTTCATTACTACATTGCGTATCCAACGACGTGCTGAGATGACTCGTTAGAGTGTGAGTACGAGAGGCACTAGCGAAACGACGTCGTGTGAGACGGAAATCATTGCGCCGCAACCGAAACGCATGGTGATGAATGCGTTAGGAGATTCTGGCAAGGTACGTACAGAACGGACCCAAGGAGGGGCCGGCTTTCATCAGCAGAAACTAAAAGACGAAGCAGGTGGCTAGGTTAGCTAACGCGTTTATGGGGAAGGTGCTTTCTGGCTAGTGCGGCTTGACTGATTAGGTAGGTAAGTGGTTGGGTGGGACTCGGCCCCTCGGGTCGGGAGGGTGTCTCGAGTTAGTGTTTTGGGACGGAAATCAGGAACACGGAGGGATTTGGTCTGGGCCAGGACAACAGAACCAGGGAAATCACAAATCACTCCCACAAGCAGGCGCTGGTGTGCTGTATGCCGCTTGTGAGGTGCTTGTTTCGCGATGATTTGGGTTGGGAATGGGAGGGGGCAGGTGGGTGGGGAAGGAGAGCGAGCGCAATATATTTGTGGGACGAATTGTGAAATTGCGACGCGAGGAAATATCAGGGGTCGGAACCGCGTCGCGTTGTTTGTCGAGCTGAGACGTGCCTGAGAAAACCTCGGTCATGATGTGTCATAGTGTGGGTGGCGGAGATGGAGGCTGCGTGGTAACCGACCACCACAACAAAAGAACCAGCGCTCACCACGCCGTGTGTGATGGGTCCGAGACACGCAGATGCGATTACCGCCATACCATCATATTACATCCCATGCGAAACATATAAATATCTACAATACACTCATCCTCTGCACCTATTTGTGGAGCTTGCACTAAAGACTGAAGAAACCAGCACGCTCTCTAATGTTTCTTTCCTACGCGGCAACTACAATTCACGCTAAATTAATTATATCATACCTCCTCAGCAACCGCCTTGTCACATACTCAATACAAAAATCATAAGCAACCTTACTTCCCCAGTCGTGTATGACCACCTCGGCCAAGCCATGTTGATGGCATCATGGCAGTAGGCATAGTGCTGGAAACCTTGGACTTCGAATCTGACCAGCCACTAAGAAGCGCAGCCGGGGACTCCCTGAAAGGAGAAGGCACACATCACAAAAGGAAGTGCGAAGTGCTCGATGTTGAAGGACATGCTACCACTGCGGTGCTTGAGAGGCATGCTACCCGGACAGTCCAGCTAAACATGGAAAAAGGGGGCATAAATACATGCACATAAATTAAATGTGCAGTTGTTGTGGACTTACATTGGATCATCTTGAGACGCAGTACTAGGCCACCCAGGGGACTCAGGCTCAGTGTACATTGGTCCGGCTGTAGAATGCCCCCCCTTCCCTTCATTAGAACCTCCTCCTGGTTCAGTCACAACTGCTTCGGCCACATTGAGTCCTAGATTCACATCCATCAGCCGTCGGGCTTCTTCCTGCTGTTTAGCATTCGAGTGTGTCAGACTAGCAGCGTAGTTCCCCTGTTGCTGCTGATACTGCTGCTGCTGCTGGTGTGAGTACTGCTGTTGCCACTGCTGCTGCTGTGGCTGAATGCTTGGATTTGTATGCAGATTCCCAGGCGATACTTCCTGCAGTCCCTTGGGAGTATCCTCCCCACCAAGCAAACCCCTGCTATCCTCGTTATAACCAGCACCATTACCACTACTGCTCATGCCGGGAATCACAAGGAATGGGTTACTGGCAAGAATCTTCTGAGCCATGGAAGCAGGTTGTTTCTGAGCCATAGAACCAGCTTGCTTCTGAGTCATCAAGGAAGCACCTTGTTTCTGCCCATTCCCCTTGGAGCCAGCCCCTTGCTCCATGCTCTGCCACAGCCCCTCCTGCTTCCCCAGCCATTGCCCCTCCTGGTGCGCCTCGGCAGACGATTCTTTATAAGCAGACCCTGTACTGGCAAACAGGGGTTCAGATTCTCCCACTTTATTAGCCGAGCCGATGCTGCTTGTGCCTGGAGAAAGGAATGGATTGGTCTGTTGCTGGGCTTGTGACTGTTGCTGCTGTAAAGGAAAGGAATTTCCAGAAGGTGCAAAGGGGCTCATACCACTAGCTGGGGGCACGGGCTGTTCTTTCAAACCTGGATTTAAGAAGGGATTGGGAGAACTATGAGGAGCAGGAAAACTTGGTCCGGCTATTGGTTTGGGAATGGCAGGAGGAGCGTAGGCAGCCACAGGAGCAGTGGCAGTGGCAGGTAGTGTGGTGGGCTCAAAGGCATCAAAACGAGCCCAGTTGCTGTTCTCTGATGCCACAGATGCTGCACTGATTGCCGCAGGTGGTTGTGCTGCTGCTGCTGGTGGTGCTGCAGCTGCTGCTGCTGCTGCTTTGGCTGCTGCGAGTGCAGCTGCTTTAGCTGCTGCTGTTTCTGCTGCTTTGGCAGCAGCTACTGCCGCTGCCGTTGCTGCCTCCGCTGCTGCTACTGCTGCTGCCTCTGCTGCTGCTGCTGCCGCCTCTGCTGCTGCCAGGCTGTTTTCATGCTCCCAGGTCGCATTCCCACCTGAAAATCCACCTGAAGTTCCACCTGCACCTGAGCCCCTGCCACCTGCGACCCTCCCTGACTCCCGAACCAACTCATACTGCCTGAACGCCCCAAGCACCTGCTTGTTCTGCGCCTGATAATCCTGTCCCTGGTTGTTGTTCTCTGCCAACAAGTTCTGTGCTGGGAAATCCTGTGCTAGGCTGCCTTGTGCCTGCTTCTCCTCCTCTGCCTGATCGTCGTCCCATGCTGTCTCAGTCTCCTCTTGCGCATTAGCAGCGCGCATGGCTTCTCTGAATGACCCGTCGATGGTGTGACAGCGACCAAAGGAAGCAAGCAACATGGCATCCCAGTCCTCGCCCTCTGTTCCTGCTCCTGCTGTTCCTGCTCCTGCTGCTGCCGCTCCAGCTGCTGTTATTGCTGCGCCGGATTCCACACCACCGCCTCCTCCTCGCCCTCCATCCCCCCCTGCCGCTGCTGGGTCTCCCATAGCACTTAAGAAAGGGTTTGTTGAAGTGTTTAGGGTTGAAGGATTGGAAGCAGTGTTCCCAAAGGCAGCAAACGCGGCCAAGTCGCCAGCAGGAGCGAGAGGGCCGCGATGTGCTGCCGAATGCTGCACTGGTGGCGCGATTTTCTTAACAGCTAAGAAATCCCCTCCACCTGCAACCCCACCACTGGTGGCTGTGGTGCTGCGGAAGGGGGCAAAGGAGGCTAGGTCACCAGCAGGGGACTGGAGAGCCGCAGGAGAGAACAAGGGGAAGCGAGGGGTGGGCAGGTCAAGGTTCAATCGCCCTGCTGCACTGCTGTCTGCAGTGCTTGCAGCGGCGGCAGCAGCAGTGGCAGCAGCAGTGGCAGCGGATTCAGTGGTGCGGATTGGTGTGGGGATGCGTGGGGGTAAGGTTTTGGGTAAGGGTGTGGGTATGGGTGTGGCGATGGGCGTGGCAATGGGCGTGGCGATGGGCGTGGGGTCATCAGTGGATGATGTTGAAGCGGTGTTGAGGGGTGTTAGGCCTGCATGTGCTCCCAACTGGTGAGGGCGAGGGAATAAAAAAAGGAGAGGGAAAGATTTAAGAGCATAAAAGCTTTAGGCAGTTTCGGCGGGGGTCGTGGATCAGGTCTGAAGTGTTCCCAACCAGTGAGAGAGAGGGGAGAGAGACGAAGAAAGGCTTACTAAAACAGGAAGAGCCACGATATGATCTCCTACTGAAAGAAGAAAGGAGTGCTTACTCCCTGGTAAGCCATGAAACGTCACTACCCCACTACACCCACTCCTGACCATGCTCAACCGAGCTCCACCCCTCTTCACCGCTCACCTTAAGCTTAGCATAAGAAGATCGTGGCATGAAGGAGAACAGCTTTCTAGGAACTGAGCCCACGTTCAGAATCACACTCCCACCTCCCAGTAACCCTGTTCCTTTCCCTCCTTTTGCCCCTCCTCCACTCCCCCCTCCACTCCCCTTGGCTTTCCCTCCTGCACCCTCTCCCTCCTTCTCCTCATGACCCTTGCCCTCACTCTCCCCCTCCTCCTTGCCCTTATCCCTTCCTTCATTCTCCTCCTTATCCTCCCCCGAATTTCCCCCCTGATAAGGCCCCTTCCCTACGACCAAACCATCCGTTTCACTCTCGCGTTCTCCTCCGCCCTTCTTCCCCTCCTGCTGCCCATCCTTCTCCCCTGTCTCCTCCTTTTCCTCACGCCCGTCCTGCCCGAGTGTACCACGAGCACCAGAACTGCCCGGAAAATCCTCAGTGCGGCCTTCTTTCCCAGGGAAGGATGGTGAGACGGTGTCAAGGGTGTCGGGGGGATCATGGGGCGGACTGGAGGAGGAGATGATTGGCTGGTGCGCTTCTGCCTTGGGCGCTGGATGGGCAAAAAAGGATGGAGGGCGAAACGGGAATGCAGGGGGGAACGGGAAGGGAGGGTTTGAGAGGCGTCAAGGGTGTCAGAGGGATCGTGAGGCGGACTGGAGGAGGAGATGATTGGCTGGTGCGCGTCTGCCTTGGGCGCTGGGGGGGGGAAGGAGGGAGAGAAGGGGAATGGGAAAAAAAGGAGAGATGGGCAGAAAGAGTGTGAGAGGCGTCAAGGGTAAGAGGGGGATCATGGGGCGGACTGGAGGAGGAGATGATTGGCTGGTGCGCTTCTGCCTTGGGCGCTGAAGTGAAGGGGAGGGAGAGAAGTGGAATGGAGCAAGTCACAAGCATGAAGAGAGAGGGAGTCAACTGATCAGTGTGGAATAGAATCGATGAAGATGATCGAATACTGATTAGATTCATGTGCTAAATACCAAGAGGCTGCACGTGTTTCATATGCTGAAGCGCAAAACTGCCTCATCCTCCTCATATTCTTGACTCATATCGCCCACATTTCCAATACGCTACGCCATATGCTTCGCCTCATATCTGATATTGAGAGGCATTAGACCTGAACCTTTCCCATAAGATGCCTCACCTGCTACAGTGCTGGACGTCCTTCTGATGAATCCCCACAGGGTCTCCCTCTGCCATGCAAGACAGCAACAGTGGAAGGACATTGCAGCCGATATCTTCGGATCATGCAGAGGAATTGAAGGTTGCAATGCAAGTCACACAGGAAGCAAGGTGGTGCATTTTCGAGGCGCCTCAGAAGTCAAGGGTTTCGAGCCACAGCAAGCCAGGCGGTGTAACACTTGAGGTCACCATCACAAATATGGAGTCACATGGCAGTATTGTGAACGTGGCGTATGCACATTTGTTCTAGACTCGTACTTCCACTCTGCTTGCACTCAAAACTTGCACTATTGCTTCCATTCCACTCGTAATACAAACCCTAGTCTTTCTTACCTTCCGCGGGGCAGGTTGGGACTCGCCCTCCGAATCATCCCTTCCATGTGCTGCTCCATCCGCCGAAGCCAGCCCCGAACCTGACGCCGAACCTGACGCCGAGCCTGAAACCGAGCCAAGTTCCGAACCTGACGCGCTCCCAGCGCTCTCTGTCCCCTTCTCTTCTCTCTCTACCACACCAGAAGCCTCTCCCTTGCCTCGCTCGGCATCTGTGCTTCGCCTCCTCCCTGCAAGAGCCACTTTTTCTAGTTCTTCCTCCTCCTCCTCATTCTCCTCTCCCTCCTCACGCCTCTCTCCCTCCTGTCCCTCCTCTCCCTTTACCCCCTCGTCTCCCTCATCTCCCTTTTCTCCCTTCTCTCGCTTGGTTCCCCCACCAAGAGCCCCACCCGTGCTCTTGCTCTTGAAGAACCTCCCGTCACCAGAGGCCTTCTGGGACTTAGTCCCTGAATCCCTCCTAAAGACGCCAAACAACCCCCCAACCAGGTTCGACTTGCTACTTGATCTGCCGGTCTTCGCTTTCCGCTCGTCGTCAGGGCTCTCAGTCGTTTCTTGAGTCGACCCAAGAATCGCCTTCCGCCCGTCGTCGTCAGGCGTTTCAATCGCGTCGTCGCTGCTCTTCGTGTTGCTTTCTGGCAGTCGGTCTGTCTCGGTCGCCGTGGGAGATTCCAACCCGACTGCGGATTCAGATTCCAGTGGACCCTTTGCTTTCGTGCTTGCATGTGTCGCTGACTCTGTTGCTGCTGCTACTGCTACTGCTGCTGCTTTTGTTACATCGATTTCTTCTCCTGGTTCTGCTCCTGCTCCTGCTGCTGTTCCTGAATTTGGTGACGAAGAGTCGTCGTTTGTCCTCGATATAGCATTACCATTCTCACCCGCCGAGTCCTCCCCCACAATCTCCCCCAATGTCTCCGCATCCTCCTCTTCATCTCCCTCTTCTTCATCCTCCATGCCCGACCCCATACGGCCGAACCCTCGCACTTTTCGACCCGACCGCCTCTGGCGAATGCGCGTGGAATCTTGCGTGGATGACGCGCTAGAGCTTCCGCGCGAGCGAGAGAACCACCCGGATTTGGTTTCCGCGGGAGCTGTTGTGGGTGTTGGAGCCTCGGGATCATCACTAAGGCTGGGAGCGGTGCTTGTGCTGCTGCGAAGGCCAGTCACTGACCACATAGTTGCAATGCGGTGATTGTTCCTAGGGTAATTTACGATTACATCCACCCTTCCTCTGAAATTATTACAGATTGCTGAATCTGCAGAGGTCGCGTCAATGTCTGAGGTCCCGCTAAAAATAAAACGGTGAAGCCGATGAAATGTTGAAAAGAGTAACGATTATGCAGAGAATGGAGACGTATCCAGCCGATAGTTCGTCAATACGGAGTTGAACCTTGCTGAACCTGAAAGCAAAGGACCAAGAGTCTGAAATAATGGAGGAAGAAAAGCTGGAAAATTTGGCTCTACCTTGGTTCTGCCTTGAAGTTGGCTCTGCCTTGATGTTAGTTCTGCCTTGATGTTGGCTCCACTGTCCTCTCTGAGAATCCTCGAGACTTGGGAGAATCATTGGTCTTGTTGCACTTGGAGGATGCCTCAACTGAAGTGGTTCTGGACAGGTGTCCTGTCATCCCGCAGAACCTTGTGAGACCGCACATTAACCCGGAAAAACTCTTTGATTTCTGCCTAGTTATCGCTTCGCATCTCTTTCTTGAAGTGAACGGAAGGGATGTGTGTTGGCGGTGGCCTGGTCAGGGATTGGCCACATTCTCGGAATTTCGGTAAAAGTAGCCCTTTACGGGCAGATTCGTTAGTACCACTGTTGCAGTGTAACGCTTTAGAAACGGGCAGCGCTATGTGCGAATTTGTTTGCTCTCGTCCAGTCACAACCAGACTGCCTCCAACTCGGGCATGTGACAAAGTTCTATGATAGACACATCAGCCATCCTCCGTAAAGGACGTCACGTAAACGACACAATGCAAGCTTGTGCTTCCGCCATTTATTACTGATAGTTTTTTGCCATTTATTTCTCCCCTGATCTGGATTTTGCAGGCTCTGGTCTGCTGCTCCTTGGGATGTGGTCGGCAGAACAGTCATCCTAGGACTTGCCGAGGTACGGAGAATCCCGATTTCTCTTATCTATGCTTAGCTCTAATCAGTACTCCACTTACGTCATCCAGGACGGTGACAGAGTTGCAGAGCCCGCGTCGCGAGGTATTGCTGCAGGCATGTCCGTTCTTTCAGAGTCTATGTCAATTTGTTTATCCATAGATGTTCATGGGAGCTCCTCGCGTGCCAAATGTTTTTAGAACTCGATCAATGTGCAACGTGTTTTTTGTCGAAAGGGGATCAGGCCATTCGACTACTCACTGGCGTCTGAATACCTCTCTGATTTCTCGAGAAATTCATGTCCTTCTTTCTAGGTTTCGACGTGCCAGCTTACATGGTTTGAGACGTCTCAAAACAACTCTACTTTCACGTGGCCATTCGACTACTTGTTAGCGTCTGAATACCCTACTACTTGAGAAATTCATGTTATTGTTTGTGTTCATTTTATCCATCCTGTCCTTTCTGCATCTCATAGTGCTCTCGTTTCTGCTTCTCTATTTCTTGGGACTACTTTCCAGCTCACCGTATCGCGATCATTTCCACTCGCCTGGCTCTGTAAGCTGCGGCCTTTCAATCGAAAACGCCAGGAACCTTACCCTATTCGTGTTTCTTTTTTCTTACATCACGCAGGAATAGCCGTACGGAGGAATAGCATTGCGAAGAAATAGCGCGTTACACAGCAATCGTGTTCATCGCAACGCGCCAGTCATCATCATCATGCAGCCGCACGCGGCTCCCAGCGGCACGGATGCCTTCGAGCGCTACTTCCAAGCGGCCGATGCGGACAGGGATGGCCGGATCAACGAGGCCTTATTCTCCTTCTTTCCACATGATCTCTCTCTTCTTTCTCATTCTCCCCAGGGAATAGCGGTACGCTGCAGCAACGGTCATCATGCAGCCCAGCATGGACGCCTTCGAGCACTACTTCCAAGCGGCAGACGCGGACAGGGACGGCCGGATCAGTGGCGCTGAAGCCGTCGCCTTTTTTCAGGGATGCGGCCTCCCCCAGATGACCCTCGCCAAGGCACGTATCAGCTGCTGTTGAACCTGTTTGTAAGGCTTTTAAGCCGTAACCTTCGTTTATGGGTGCGGCCTCCCTCAGATGACCCTCGCAAAGGCACGTATCTTCTCCCATACCTGTTGGCCTGTGGATGCCATGCCTCGGCATGTCTTGATTTTTATCAGATTGTCAGGAGACACCTTTGGCATTATTGGAACAACCTCTTTTCATGGGCTTGCTACGATTTTCTATCAGACCTTTAAACAACCTCTCAGGTTCCTGTGATTGTTGCGACCACTCGACATGTTCTCCTCTCTTATTGCCCACGTAGTCCTCTAAAATTGTGTGTTTTTGTTGCATTTTATGGCGTGTGCTGGATGAATCATTGGCCTGGTCGAATTTCAAACTTTCTTGTTACTCCGTCCCTTTGCAGGTCTGGCAGTATGCCTTTTGAGGCTCCTAAAAAAAAATTCTAACTTTCTTGCTTCTTCGTCCCTTCGCCCCACAGGTCTGGCAGTATGCGGACTCGCGCCAAGCGGGGTTCCTCCACCGCCCAGAGTTCTTCCACGCCCTTCGCCTCATCACCGTTGCCCAATCCGGTCGCGACATCAACCCAGACGTCGCCCGAGCCACCTTCTCAGGCCCGGCAGTGGCCCAGATCCCCGCACCTCGGATTACCGTGCCTCCGAGGCCCGGAGCTGCTGCCAGACCAGGCGGGCTGCCAGGTCCGGTCGGTTCGGGCGCTCCCGGACCTGGAGCACCGGGAGCACCACCAGTGCAGCAGGTAATTCTGAGAGAATAGAAGAGGTAAGAACGACTCGACAAAGGTCCATTTAGAGCACCTTTTGAGGCGCCTCTGAAGTAATTCCGAGAGAACAGAAGAGGTCAGAACGACTTAACAAAGGTCCGTTTAGAGCACCGGGAGCACCACCACCAGTATTGGTGAGTCCAAGAGAACTTCAGAGGTAAGTCCGACTCGAAAATCCACGCAAAGTTTGCGTGTTGGTTACTTTACTTCAGCTTCTTATCATCAGGAGTATTTTATTGTTGGAACTGCAAAATTGTCTCTGAAAAATCGACTGCCCCTTCCTTCGTCTGCTCTACCAACGGTCAGGGGGTGTATGAAAAGGGAATGCCAATCCAAGGTACAACAATGTCACAGATGATGCCTGGGATGGCTGGGATGAGCCTCATAGGAGGCATGATGATTTGTGACTGTTACTCTCTTTCCTTCGTCTCTCCCTCTCTTTGTTTGCTGTACCACGTCCTGCAGGGCGCGTATGGAAGGGGAATGCCAGTCCAAGGCGCGCCGATGCCACAGGGGATGGCTGGTATGGCTGGGATGGGCCCTGTGGGGGGCATGATGGGGGGTATGGGAGGCATGGGAGCCATGGGGCCGGGCCCAGGCGGAATGATGGGGGGAATGGGACCTCGACCAGGCATGCAACAGCCGCAGCAACAGTATTCACAGCAGCAGCAGCAGCAGCAGTACGGGCAGCAGCAGTTTCAGCCGCAGCAGCAGCAGTACGTGCAGGGTATGCAGGGGAACATGCAGACTGGTGCGCCAGGCACCATGCAGCAATCTGGTGCGTCTGGTGCGCCGGGGACCATGCAGAGTGGCACACCCGGGGGCTTGCAACCAGGGCCTCTTGGACCCGCATACGGCCGTGGTCAGCCAGCAGGTGCTCCTATGCCAGGTCAGCCTGGCCCGATGCCAGGTCAGCCTGGCCCCATGCCAGGTCAGCCCGGCCAAATGCCAGGTCAGCCTGGGCCAAAGCCAGGTCAGCCTGCATCCGGGCCTTCTTGGCAGCCTGCTTCTGCGAAGCCTGCAGCAGAGAAGGATCCGTTTGCGGATTTTGGCGTGCTTGGAGGCAAGAAGTTTGCCGCCCAGACCCAGAGTGGTGCCAAGGGTTCTGCTGCCGCCCAAAGTGCTGCCACAGGTGCTGCTGCCGCCCAGATGCCTGCTGCACAGCAGCAATTCCAGCAGCAGCAGCAGCAGCAATACCAGCAGCAGATGATGCAGCGACAGCAGCAAATGCAACAGCAGCAGCAGATGCAACAGCAGCAGCAGCAGATGCAACAGCAGCAGCAGATGCAACAGCAGCAGCAGATGCAACAGCAGCAGCAAATGCAACAGCAACAGCAGATGCAGCTACAGCAGCAGATGCAGCAGCAGCAGGCAGCGATGGGAGGGATGGGAGGGGTGATGGGAACAGCAGGACCTTCTGCTTTTGGTCCTTCTGCTTTCTCCGCCTCCTCTCAACCCCCTCCTTCCCAGCAATCCGCCTCCCGTCCTGCTCCACCCACCTCCACTCTACCCAAATCCGCAGACGCAGCAGCAGCAGCAGCACTGGATGCTTTTGTGATGAAAGACGTGGCTGTAGTGCCTCCAGCTGCTGTGTCTTCCGCTGTGGTAACAGCAGGTGGGGGGCAAGCAGCAGAAGGAACAGCATTCGCGGGAGCAGGGGCAGCAGCAGGGGCAGCAGGGCAAGGGGCGGGCGCAGCAGCAGGGGGCGCGCAGGGGCAGGAAGGAGAGGGGTTTCTGATGGTCCCGGGGGATCCCCAGCCATGGCCGAGAATGGGGGTGGCGGAGGCACAGCGGTATGCGCAGGTGTTTGTGGGCATCGATGCGGATAGGGATGGCAAGATCACCGGCAAGGAGGCGAGGAAAGTGCTCATGGCTTCACAAGTGCCTATTGGTGAGTGCTTGTGCGGTGAGGATGGGGTGGTATGGGTGAGCATGGGTGTTTGTGGGCGTGGATGGGGACAGGGATGGCAAGATCACCGGCAAGGAGGCGAGGAAAGTGCTCATGGCTTCACAAGTGCCTATTGGTGAGTGCTTGTGCGGTGAGGATGGGTGGGTGTGGGTGAGCATGGGTGTTTGTGGGCGTGGATGGGGACAGGGATGGGAAGATCACCGGCAAGGAGGCGAGGAAGGTGCTCATGGCTTCCCAAGTGCCTATTGGTGAGTGCCTACCTTCCTCTCCCCTTTTGCGCCTTGGGAATGGTGGGATATAAGGTATTGTTTGTGGGCGTGGATGGGGACAGGGACGGCAAGATCACCGCCTCCTACCTCATCACGCGTTGAGGCACATTTACTTATCCTAAACCCGTTGGGACCCCATCAAGTCTTCCTCCCTCGCTCCCCCCCTCCCTCTCTCCTTCCCCCCCTCCTTCCTAAACCAAACCCACCCCTTGTTTGCCCCCCTTTTCAGATGTACTCAAGCAGGTGTGGGACCTCTCAGATGAGGACAAGGACGGCAACTTGTCATTTCACACTTATTCTGAACATGCACTTTCCGTTGTCTCGGCACTCACACACCCTTATCCCCATGCTCCTGTCCCGCAGATGTACTCAAGCAGGTGTGGGATCTCTCAGACGAGGACAAGGACGGCAACTTGACTCTTCGCGAGTTGCATTTTGAGGCGCCTCAAAATCCGCGTGTAGTGAGGTGCATTTTGAGGCGCCTCAAAATCCGCGTGTAGTGAGGTGCATTTTGAGGCGCCTCAAAATGCACCTTGTTTGCCCCCCTTTTCAGATGTACTCAAGCAGGTGTGGGACCTCTCAGACGAGGACAAGGACGGCAACTTGACTCTCCGCGAGTTCTGCACCGCCTCCTACCTCATCGAGCGCTACAAGTCAGGACGAAAGCTGCCGCCCACACTGCCGAAGGGCTTCCACGTGGACGAACCGGTGCAGGACCAGCGCACGGCCATCGCTGCGAAACGATTGGCCGAGGCGCAGGCGGCGCTGACTCAGCACTCACAGGGGGTGAACGTGCCAACGTGGCAGCGCGATCCAGGTAAACCACTGCAGCGTTTCCATCCCCCACCTTCCCTTTTCCCTCCCCCCCCTTCCCTCCTCCCCTTTCCCATCTAAAAGCCAATAAACACACAGCAAAATCAAGGATTTGAGTTCTCTGGTAACGTTGTGCGTTTCTTGGGCTGCTATCCGTATGCTGTCATTAACTAAGGAGGTGACGTGTGCGGCAGCAAGTAGAAATTGACTTCTATCTCTTTGTGCTGTTGGCGTTGCAGGTGTCCTGGTCTCCCCAACAAAAGGAGCACCCAGAAAGGTAATCATCTATTGATACATCTCTGGATGGATTTGCTCTTAAAAGAAGTCTGACTGACTGTTTTTTCTCTTTTATGTATGTTATCTTTCTCTGGATGCATCATCTCTTTGACTGGGAATTTCTCTTCCCGATTGATTTTTTCCCTCTTTTGTGACCGCACTTAAGTTTCCTTCTTGGTGCGATCACTAGCATGGAAGAGTATGGATATGCACTGACTGAGACATTCATCATGCATCAGCACATGCGTTGTTGGAAGTTGGAACATGCACTGAGAGGGACATGCATTTGGGGACATGTGTTGGGACATGCACTTGTGTTGTGCTTTCTCATGCCACAAAATGAAGTTTCTTCGTGCTATCATGTCACCTCCTCAACCATCCCTCCTTCCCCCCCCCCCCCTTTTCTGTCCCATTTCTGTTGTCTGTGCGTTCAGGACGCGATGCACTTGCACACAGTGCTACGAATCTGCTCCCTAACCTAATGCTCCCCCACACCTCCCTACGCCTCCCTGTCGTCTGTTCTGTGTGCTCAGGACGCTGCCATGGATCAGAAGAAATAGGCTGTGTTTTTGTGCATGCACTTGCACACAGATGTGTGCGTGCATGCGCGCACTTGCACGCAACGAGTCTGGCTTCTAATGCCCCCTCCCTCCCGCTCACGCCTCCCCTGCTGTCTGTTGTCTGTGTGCTCAGGACGCTGCCATGGATCAGAAGAAAAAGGCGGTGTTTTTCCGCGACAAAATGCAGGAGATTGTAAGTCGCAATCAATCATGAGGTGACTTTTGAGTCGACTCAAAAGGCGGTGTTTTTCCGTGACAAAATGCAGGAGATTGTAAGTCGCAATCACTTTTGAGGCGCCTCAAAAGTTGTTTTTCCGTGACAAAATGCAGGAGATTGTAAGTCGCAATCAATCAAATTCTGTTGTTTTCACTGTGAGAAACGTGGCATTGTAAGGGCGTTTATCAGTGGTGTGGTGATGACACGGTCCCTCTCAATCTGTATCTCTCCTCCTCTATGCATGTGACTATTGAGTCGACTCAGAAGTCACCTCAATTTCTGTTGTTTTCACTGTGAGAGTCGCTGTGACCTCTGCCTTGCTGACGTCTCTCAGATTGAACTTTTCCTCCTCTTTCTGTGTGTCCCATCCCACCCCATCCCATCCCATCCCATCCCATCCCATCCCATCCCATCCCATCCCATCCCCTTTCCAGGTCATGTTCAAGAGTCGCTGTGACCTCCGCCTTGCTGACGTCTCTGAACAGGCTGATGTGGAGAAAAAGGAGGTGAGCATGCTGACGTGGCGGAAACAGGGGGTGGGCTGGGCATGCTGACGTGGCGGCAGAGTACTGGTGATCACAAAAGCAGGTTTGTCTATTTTGGGAGTTTCAAACTATGTTTCACATGATTTTCACAGCTTGAGTCTTGAATTCAGTTCGTCTTTGACTGTTTTTTAAATATCTTAGCTTGGGGAGCACGTTGACAGGTTTCTATTGTGCAAGACAGTTCAAATCTCTGCTGGAAGTCTGTAGTGAGGCGAATTTGAGGCGATTTTGAGGCAATTTTGACGCGATTTTGAGGCAATTTTTTTAGGCGCCTCAGAAATCTGGTTCCACTTTGGGGTGCCTGCTGGGATGCTACGTGCAAATGCATGGTCTCCATTCTCCATTCTCCTCACCTCTCCCCTCTCCCCGTTTTCCCGGTGCCAGATGGAGGACTAGGTCGGAATTATGACGACAAGTACAAGGCGGCTCAGCTGTCGGCTGGGAAGCTAGGTGCACTGACTTAGGCGCTTAATCTCCCCTCTCCCCGTTCCTCTCCCCGTTCCTTTCCCCGTTCCTTTCCCCGTTCCTCTCCCCGTTCCTCTCCCCTCCCTCCTATCCCCCTCTTCTCTCCACGTTCCTGGCATGACAGATGGAGGAACTGGCCCGGAAGTATGACGACAAGTACAAGGCGGCTCAGCTGTCGGCTGGGAAGCTTGCAGCAGAGGAGCGGGCACTGCAGCAGATGCAGGTAGGTGGGTAGTGTGAACAAGGTGAGATAGACTGTCGTGCGGCAAGTGCAAGTACAAGTACAAGGCGGCTCAGCTGTCGGCTGGGAAGCTTGCAGCAGAGGAGCGGGCACTGCAGCAGATGCAGGTAGGTGGGTAGTGTGAACAAGGTGAGATAGACTGTCGTGCGGCAAGTGCAAGTACAAGTACAAGGCAGTGACTTTTGAGACGTCCCAAAGGTGGGTAGTGTGAGCAAGGTGAGATAAACTGTCGTGTGGTAAGTGCAAGTACAAGTACAAGTACAAGGCGGCTCAGCTGTCAGCTGGGAAGCTTGCAGCAGAGGAGCGGGCACTGCAGCAGATGCAGGTACACTGCATCCCTCTGCATCCCTCTGCATTCCCCTGCATACCTCTACATACCTCTGCACCCCGCTGGCACCCCTCTGCATCCCTCACATTGCTGACATTGCTCTGCATCTGCTGCATTTCCACCCATCCCTCTCACAGAAGAAGGCTCAGATGGTCATAAACGCCACGTCAGTCCCTCTCCTCCCTCTGCATCTTCTTTCCTTCTGCCTCCTCTCCACCCTATCCCGCACCCATCTCCACCCTACCCTGCACCCTTCTCCACCTTCTCCACCCTTTTCCACCCCTCTCCACCCATCCCTCTCCCAGGAGAAGGCTCACATCATCATGAACGCAACGTCAAGGCTTGACCGAGGAGGCGACCCCAACCAGCTGCTGCAGGTGTGGTGTGGCGTGGTGCGGTGGGGTGGGGTGGGGTGGGGTGGGGTGGGGTGGGGTGGGATGCGGTGGGGTGGGGTGTGGTGGGGTGTGGTGTGGTGTGGTGTGGTGTGGTGTGGTGCAAGGGGTTAATGAGTGACAAACCACTTACCTTCTGTAGTGAATGTGAGTGCTGTGCTGTGCAGTGCTAGGGGTATTTGCACATGCCACTGCCATCATCACTTCTGTACTCACTCAAGCTATCTCGTGTGATGAGTCGATTCTTGAGTGGACTCAAAAATCGTATTTGCGCATGCCATTGCCATCATCACTTCTGTACTCACTCAAGCTATCTCGTGTGATGAGTCGATTCTTGAGTGGACTCAAAAATCGTATTTGCGCATGCCATTGCCATGATCACTTCTGTACTCACTCAAGCTATCTCGCTCCATGACTTGCTTTTACCTCCTCCTCATCAGCATCATCATCAGGATAAGGCAGACCGCCTGGCTCTGGAGGTGGAGGAGATGCGCAAGGTGGTGTTCGCGCATGCCACTGCCGTCTTCTCTGCTGCCCATACTCCCTCATGGGTGTCTTGTGCCCCGTCCACATCCCATCACCAGGACAAGGCGGACCGCCTGGCTCTGGAGGTGGAGGAGATGCGCAAGGCAGTGTTCGCCCATGCCCCTGCTGTCTGCCCCTCACGTTATTCCTCGTGTTATCTCACTATCCAACGTCCCTCACTCCTTGACTTGCAGGACAAGGCGGATCGCCTGGCTCTGGAGGTGGAGGAGAGGCCACTCTCGTTGCCCCTCATGGTGTTTATATTATCCCTTGATCACTCTTTTCGACAAACAGGACAAGGCGGACCGCTTGGCTCTAGAGGTGGAGGAGATGCGCAAGGCGGTGTTCGCGCATGCCACTGCCATCGGGCTCAAAGTGCGGCCCCTTGTGGGATCCGAAACTCCCTTTGGTAAGCATTCGAATCATGACATTGTGCGATCATGGCATCAGTCAATCTTGTTACGTGCCTCCTACCATTGTCATTGGGCTTGGGCATTAAGTGGTCCCTCTGTTGCGGATTTCAAGCGCACTCTCTGTTTAAGTGTTGGTTTTTTCTCCATGTGTTGCTGTGGGATGGGAGTGACTTTGGAGAGTGTAGACTTTTGTGACAAGATATCTTGTAGATATGTTCAGTAGGTTTCTCGTGAATCAGTGCCGACAAGATATGCGCATGTGCTGAGGAATGATCATTTCATTCGCCAGGAGAAAGCAACAACTGGTGTGGGTTACTGTTGTGTTTTTAACTAATGCTTCGCCAAGTGGCTTCTCCGTCTTTCTCCGTTTTGTCCAGGCTGGCAGGCGAATCTTCAGGAGAAAGCAACAGACTGGGACGACGAGTGGGACGACGTGCAGTTTGAAGAGCTGGTGGTGGTGCGGGATATTGGCGACACCCCATTGGCTGAAAACGAAGACCCGTTCCCCAGGCCGAAATCCAAGGAGCAGGAGGAGAAGGGAGCGGCTGGGGCGTCAGCAGCTGCTGAAACTGGCAAGGGAGAAGGGGAGGAGGGTGGGGGAGAGGGAGAGGTGGAGGATGGGAAGGGGGGAGAGGGGATGGCAGCAGAAGAGGTTGATGGTGCTGCGAATACAGGAGGGGAAGGGCCAGGAGGTTCCAAGGAGAACGGGGAGAAGGAGAAGCAGGAGAAGGAGAAGGAGGAGGAGAAGAAGAGGAAGAAGAAGGAGAAGAGCATGGGCTCGGCTCCGTCCGGTCCAGCTGACTTCTTCTCTCCAGAAGAGGATGAGGATGCGGATTCAAACGAGGCTATGATTGGCGTGCAGAGGCATGGGGAGGAGGACGAGGAGGAGGAAGAGGAGGAGGTGGAGGAAATTGTGATGGATTCGACGCCTGTGCTGCAGATTACAGCAGGAGGAGAGGGAGAGGGAGGGGGAAGGGGGAGAAAGGACGGGATGATGGAAGGGGTGGTTGCGGGAGGGGCAGGAGCAGGAGCAGAGGAAAAGCAGACCAAGCAATCAGAAGCAGGAGCTGGAGGAAAGGAAGGGGAGAGAGAGGGGCAGGAGACCGATGGGGAGAATTCGACGTCAGCAGTGCAAGAGGAGAGTGCAGCATCGGCCTCACCTGGTGATTCCAAGGAGATTCTTGGATTCCCCTTCCAAGGCTGGTCCCGTGGCAGCGCGGGTAAAGCAGGAGCAGCAGCAGGAGGAGCAGGAGGAAGGGGGTCAGGAGGAGCAGCGATGCCGAGTTTGGCTGACCTGGCGTCATCCTTCTCTCTCTCTCCAACATCTGGCGTGTCTCCGGTTTCTCCTGTATCTGCTGCTGCATCCACCAGCAGTAGAGCATCTACTACTGCTTCTCCCTTCAACCCTGCTTCGGTTGCAAAGAGCCTGGCAGCTGCTAATGCTGCTGCTGCAGCAATTAACGCTGCTTCTGGAACGCCTGATTCCATCCCTGCTGGTGTTGCTGCTGGTGGCGATGCTGCTGCCTTGTCAGCAGGGAAGTCTCCACCCTCGGCCACGTCTGTGCGTCGAACCTTGGATTTAGGTTCGGTGGACTCCCCACAGCAAGATAGCACGGCGAGCGGAGCGAGCAGCGCTGGAGGCTTGGGTTTTGGTTCGGTGATGACGGCTGGTCCGGGAGGGAGGTACGGCGAAGGAGCAGGAGCAGGGGCAGGAGCAGGAGCAGGAGTGGGGGCAGTAGCAGGTGGAGGAGGGGGAAGGGATGGGTATGGAGAGGGAGAGGAGGTGTCACGGCCCTACACAGCCCATGGGCTTGTGTCCGAAGATATGGTTGAGAGTGATGCAGAGAGTGACAGTGGAAGGAAGGGCTATGGGTCGGGGGGGAGAGGAAGGGATGAGGAGGAGGACGAACAAGCAGCAGATTCGTCTGACACTGCTGCACCTGCTGCTGGTATCCCAGCAGCAGCAACAGCTGCTGCTGCCGCCGCTGCTGCCACCGCTGCTCCCGCTGCCTCCTTCGGCCTATCTCCCAGTGCCGACAGTGAAGGTGGCGCTGCAGTAACAGAGACCAAATCCGGGTCCTTCGCGTTTGATTTCTCGGCAGAGCCAGAGGACCCGTTCACCTCAGGTGCAGCAGCAGCAGCAGACCGTTCAGAATCCGCATCTCCCTTCCCCACCTCGTTCAGCACTGAGGGGCGGCGGAGGAGTGGAAACGACGAGGCTCAGTCACCTCTCACGCACGCTGCTGTGGGTCAGGAAGATAGCCCTATCCACTCCCAGCAGCAGCAGCAGCTGGGTGGTGCTGCCGATACTTTTGAGTCCTCGCCGTTTCACGCCAATCCGGTTGACGCCGCGCCGTTTGATGCCTCTCAGTTTGACCAGGGTTTTGGCCGCGATTCCAGCTTTGGCCGGGACCCGAGCTTCTCCAGGGATTCAAGCTTCAAGGGGTATGGGGGGAGCATATTTGATTCTGCCACCGGTGCGGCAAGTTTCAAGGGTGGATTCGACGCGAGCGCGTTCGATTCGGCCACGGGTGCGGCGAGCTTCAAGGGCGGGTTTGATGCGAGTACGTTCGACCAGCATTACGGTGGAGTGGGGGCGTTTGACCAGCATTACGGTGCGGGCGGTGCTGCTCTCGACACCTCCTCCTCCTTCCGTTCCTCTGTGGACTCCCCATCCGGCTCTCATGCCCGGGTGAGTGTGTAGACTTCATGTGCTCAGTTGTTCCAAGTGGGGCCGTTTGTTCAGCATTACGGTGCTGGTGGTGCTGCTCTCGACACCTCCTCCTCCTTCCATTCCTCTGTGGACTCCCCATCCGGCCCGCACGCTCGGTTGAGCTGAGAGTGAAGTGGAGTGGTGTATATGTTTCAAAGTGGGGTCGTTTGACCAAGCTATGGGGTAGGGGGTGCTGCTTTGTGTGTCAAGTCGATTTTTGAGTCGACTCAAAAATCGGTTCGACCAGAGCTATGGGGTAGGGGGTGCTGCTTTGTGTGTCAAGTCGATTTTTGAGTCGTCTCAAAAATCGGTTCGACCAGAGCTATGGGGTAGGGGGTGGAAGGAAGAGCAGCACCCCAGAGCTGTGCTCTCGACACCTCCTCTTCCTTCCGCCCCTCTGTGGACCCCCCCTCCGGCCCACACGCTCGCGTGAGTACAGAATTCACGTGCTGAGGAGCCTAGTCTGGCGAGTTTCATCCCGGCCAGCTCCAATCGTTCGCCAGTGGCTTCGATAATAATTCGCTCTCACTCCCCCGCCCGTCCCCTCCTCCCCTCCCACTGTCCCCCCCTTCCCCCTCCCAGCCTGGCGAGTACCATCACGGCCATTTCCAACTCGACCACTCCCCCTTCAGTCTGATCACAGTCTGATCGTATTGACTCAAACTTTGAGTCAACTCGAAAATTCCTCACTTCCCCCCACCCTTCTTCTCACACCCACTCCCTCCCCTTCCCAGTCTGGCGAGTTCCATCCCGGCCAGTTCCAATCCTTCCCCAGTGTCTTCGACGATCATGCTATCTCACTCGCCCAGCTTTGTACTTCCCCCATTTTCCCCCATCTCCCCCCATCTCCCCCCCATCTCCTCCCCCATCTCCTCCCCCATCTCCCCCCCCATCTCCCTCCCATCCCTCATTCCAGTCTGGCGAGTTCCATCCCGGCCAGTTCCAATCCTTCGCCAGTGGCTTCGATGACCATTTCGACTCAAACCCCTACGGTGCAAGTGCGGGGACGGTGGGAGGAGGAGGAGGCCGAGGAAGGGGAGAGGAAGAAGAGGAGGTGCATAGCAGCGAGGAGGAGGACAGTGGAGGGGACCCCTTTGCCAATCTCCGAAGCAGTGGGGGTGGTGCAGGCGGTAACCAGCATGTTACCGCGTCGCATTTCGACGCGTACAACTACGACAAGGCGGCGGAAGAGGCGGAAACACCCGGGGCTGCGAGGCAGGGGGGGGTGCAGCCGGGTAGTGCGAGCGCGTTTGACTCGTATGGGTGGAATGCGTTTGAGTGATTTGTGAGCAGTATGAAGGAAACACTCAACAGAAAAGGCAGGGTGAGGTGCATTGCATTGGCTCACCTGGCAGTAGAGGTCTGGAAGGCAGGGTGAGGTGCAGCCGGGTAGTGCGAGCTCGTTTGACTTGAATGGGTGGAACACGTTTGAGTAATTTGTGAGAAGTATAACACATCTCTAGGCAAGGAAATATCATGCAGATTTGGTTGCTTGCTTACTGTTTACTATCTAAGAAAGTTAAAATGGTCTTCTTGATGAATGATTTGAATTTGGGGAGCTATACTGCATAATTAGTCCTTAGTAGGCTTCTTCTGATGCTATACTTGTGAATGCTAATCTGATTATGTCTTTTAATTTGCATGCTATTTCAGTCAGAAGCCCTAAAATTAGTGTGAGCCTGCTATAATATGCATCATATCCCCTGTTTCTGTGTTTAGGAACTTGATATATGGAAAACAACGACTTAATAAACTCGCAAAATTAACACAAGAATCTATGAGTTCTTCTGTGTCGAATGGACAGCTCATAGCGGGCTGGTCAGGCAAGATCAAACTCGCCCCTACAGAAGAAATTCCATCAGCGAACGAACCCATCGGCCGGCAATCCCAAGGTTGGTTCTCGTCAATCCCCAGTCCCTTGAGAAGCATGGCAGTCTGTCAGGAGGATTCAGGAAGCTCTGAGGGAAAACAGTGTATACAGGGCCAGTATCAGGAGGAATACCGTAGGGATGATCGGAACCTGATAGACGTTCAGTTAGCTGTGTATGTGCACGGCTGTGACGCTTCCAGTTCAGCTTCTCTAGGATTCGACTGGCAGAATGACAGACGCTCGGCGGATTCCGTTAGCTCGAGGGATCCCGTCACTTGAGCGGTTTCTGTTTCTGGCTTGCGCTATCGCCGCTCTGCGCGTGAGTCTCGCTATTCCCATTTATTTGTCGACTGATGATCATGGTCAACTCATTATCAATTTACGAGAAAAAGGCTTTAAAATGGCATCCCAAGATTGTCACTTGTCCGTTCTCACGACCACCGGTGCTTCTCTTTTATTCTTTCTTCTTAGCGCAAGTTCTGGACATTAGTCTTTGACTAACCTTGTATCTCCGCCTGGCAATCCGTGTATCCCGCCTGACAAAGCCCACAGTAGCGTGTCTGGAATAAATGGTGTTAGCTCCTTGACTCACTGAGTATTATCTGCCGTTCCGCACACAACATGATACATCCCTGCACAAGAAATGTCCATGCATTCGCGTCCACATCCGCATCCGAATGCTCATGGCTTTTCTCTCCTCCCGGCCACTAAGCGTCACCCGGACACCCTCCTCCCCGTTCATTGTCGCATCAGGCTGGGAATGCAGCAGCCGAGCGCATTCACCACGGCGATGCCCTTGTGAGTGAGTGTATGGTGTGATGTGATGTGATGATGCGAGTGCAGCACCATCAGATGATGCGAGTGCAGCATCATCAGATGATGTGAGTGCAGCCGTTTATGCAGCAGCCGAGCGCATTCACCACGGCGATGCCCTTGTGAGTGAGTGTATGGTGTGATGTGATTATGTGAGTGCAGCATGATGTGATATGTGTGTGAGGCATTATGTGATGAGGAATGCAAGATGAGGGTGCAAGAATATCACCTGTAGATATGAGTACTCTTAACCAATATCACTTGTAACAGCCACCTCATCCTACTCACGAAAACGTGGCCAATGGCCATGTTACAACAGCAGGTGGTTTTTTCCACCAAAAACAACAATGTGCTATTTCTCCTTCAGAAATATTAAAATATATATAACCTTTTTTTACGGTCGTTTTTAAGGATACCATTCGTATTTTTGCCCCTTGATCATTTGAACAATCGGAGGATGGCCATGGAGTTGCCTCTCTGAATAGATGTTGTATCTTACCCACGTACCTTTGTTAACATTGGAAAGTTCTCATGCCATTTTTTTCTCCTCGCAGCATTTCCAAAATCCTTTTCTCCACTTCCTGTTCCCCTTTCTGCTACCCTTTCCTCCTCTTCCCTCCCGCTTCCCCCTTCCCCCCTCCCTCCCCCCTACTACCTTTCCCCCCACCTCCCCCCTTCAGTCTCGAGCCATCATTGATGGGTTTCTTGATGACCCCACACTCATCGATTTCAGTTTTCCCGACCAGATATGTGGCACATGGCACCACAACTACACTCGCATGCACCAGCAAATCCGGGCAGCCAGCAAAAATCCCTCTGGCGACCCCCCGCCCGACACGCCGCCCGTGAAATTTCTCACCTTTGACGGCCTCAGCCACTGCGACAGCCTCGGGGAGACCCTCATGGGGCTGACGTCAGCGTTCACTGTAGCTATCCTCACTAACAGAGCTTTCGTTATAAAGCACCCGTGCATCCCCATGGCGTTTGAACCGGCGCTGATCGACTGGCAGCCCACAGAAGACGTGGGATTCGAGCCCGTCAGAAACGAAACTTTTCCGCTCGAGCATCCTGACCAGGCGGTCACGCCACCAATAGGAGCGAGCGATATTGTGGAGATCAATCTAGAATTACGTCCCGAGGCGCACCCGGAAAAGGTGTTTCTGCAGGTAGAAGCTGCAAGGAACCTGTGTGTGGTGTGGAATAAAGACCTGCTGGTGCATATGCTGAAGGGGGCAAATGAATCGGTGTGGGGAGGGAGACTCAAAGACATGGGTGTCAGTATCCCGTACGCTTTCGGCTGCTTTGTGCGATACCTGCTGAGGTGAGACGGCGAGAGGTGGGAAGTGAGAGGTGGGAGGTGGGAGGATGAATGGATATGTTTGAGAGTTGGTTATGTTCATGATTGGCAGATTATCAAGCCTCAGTGGCCCCACCCCACCCCCCCCCTTGCCTTTGAGTCGACTCAAAAGCAGAGGATGAATGGATATGTTTGAGAGTTGGTTATGTTCATGATTGGCAGATTATCAAGCCTCATTGGCCCTTTCTTTATCTTTTCTGAAGGCCCACTCCGTAGGTGCGTGTGACGCAGGATGCAAGATGGGGAGCACAGGCTTACCTCAAACATCCATCCCCCTGTGTCTCGCCCTCTTCTCCCCTCCTCGCCAGGCCCAAACCAGAGGTGTGGCACAGGATGCAGCCGTTTGAGAAGCAGCTGAGGGGCGACAAGGTGGTGAGCATCGGCATGCACGTGCGGCACTTCGGCCGCGGGTCCCTCCCACCCAGCACCACCATCAACTCAGGCGACTTGCGGAGGGCTATGAATGACATCGTGTGGCCTGCCATAAAATGCGCCAAGGTGGGTGTTGTTTTGAGTCGACTCAAAAGGCAACGCATTTCACGCTTGCTGCGGAGGGCTATGAATGACATCGTGTGGCCTGCTATAAAATGCGCCAAGGTGGGTGTTTTAATCAGGATTCAGGGGAAAGGGTCGTCTGCTCAGGAAAGAGCAGCAGACGAAAAGACGCAGTTTGATCAGGAAAGAGTAGACGAAAGGACGCGGATAGCCAGCCCCTTTCCCCCCACCCTCCCCCACGGGGCAGCGTGTTGAAGGAATTTCTGTGATTCGGACGGATTGTTTCTTGAGATGACTTTTGAGTTGACTTAAAAACCCACGGGGCAGCATGTTAAAGGGTTTTCTGTGATTCGGGCAGTTTGATTCTCTCTTGCTGCTTGTTTTGAGGCGCCTCAAAACTAGATTGCTCGTTTTGAGGCGCCTCAAAACCACCCTTCCCCACGGGGCAGCATGTTAAAGGATTTTCTGTGATTCAGGCAGTTTAATTCTCTCCCATTGCTCGCACAACAATCTGCTTTCAGTGTTCCCTCCTATTTTTCTCACCTCCAACCCCACCAATCTTCACACACGGAAGAATCTTGAGAACTGGTGGTAGCGTTCTCTCGTAAATCTTCCCACCTATGACAAACCCATCTCCACCCCTTCCCACACACACACATGGTAGTGTATAAGAACCCGCCATTCATCAATATGAAGTGGCTCATTAACAGTGACTGGTGGCAACTCAAACAGTCCGCTGTTCTCCTCGTGCTTGCGCGCACGCCCTCCCCCGTCCCCCCAAACCCACAAGATGTCAAATACTGGTGGTACCCGCCATTCCTCAATGTGAAGTGGCTCGTTACTAGCGACTCTAAAGATGTCTCAGAAGTCACCTCTGACACCCGCCCCTACCCCTCCCCACGCACGTGGCAGGATGTCGAAAACTGGTGGTACCCGCCATTCCTTAACGTGAAGTGGCTCATCATTAGCGACTCGCTGCAACTCAAACAGAAGGCGGCCATTGACGTGAACGATTCCAAGGTGATGTGACCATAACGAGTCCAAGGTGATGTGACTATAACGAGTCCAAGGTGATGTGGTTCATGACGAGCTCAATATGATGTGATTCTTACAGGTCTAAGGTATTGTGATAATAACAAGTCCAAAGTGTGTGACTATATGTCTTCTTTTTACCTTTCCTCTCCTTCCCTCTTCTCTCATCTCATTTCCTCTCCTCTCTTCTCGTCTCCTCTCCTCTCCTCTCCTCTCCTCTCCTCTCCTCTCCTCTCCTCTCCTCTCCTCTCCTCTCCTCTCTTTCTCTTATTCCCACCGTGCCTCTGCCCTCTGTCATCATTGAATCCAACCAATGGGTACTCCCTCCCCACCATCATCTCCACCACCCCCAAGCCCCCCACCACCCAAGCCCCCCGCCACCCAAGCCCCCCTCGAGCTCTGATTTCATCCTTTTTCTGAACCATCTTCTTCCAACTTCATTTCCTCCATGCAGACCTATCACCACATTATGTCGGTTTCCCATTCCGCTTTCTGATTCTCTCCAGGGGTTTGACAAAAGCTTCGCTTACTCCCACCCCTCTATGCAGATCGTAAACACCCCATTTAATCCTGTGGGTCCCAACCCCCCCTTACTCCTCAACAACAGTGCCATCCAAGGCTCTCAGCATCAGTTGCTAACGTTCAAGAGAACTGTAGTTTGGTAGAAAAAAACCCATCCCGTTTCCTCCCCATTCCCCTTTCACCCGTCCCACCTCCTTTAAAGATCTCATCACCCATGGGTCCCGCCCTCCCTCCCCAGCAAAAGTACCACCCGAAACATTCAATACTGAACTGATGTCCCCATCCCCCCTACTCCCATTCGCCCGCCTCACCTCCTTATGCAGATCGTCATGACCGAATTTGACCCGTGGGTCCCGACCTCCCTCCTCAACATCAGCCAAAGTCCGCCACCCGCGCCCGCTCCCTCCTCCGACCCTTCTTCTGATCCCACCACTACCACCACCACCACCACCACAACCCCAGACGGTTCCCCTCTCTCTGATATCCCCTCTGTGCAAACGTTCCAAGAGACAGTCACTGAGTGGCTTCTCCTCTCCTCGTGCAACTCCTTTATTGTTTCGACCTCCGCCTTTGGTCGCACGGCCGCCATGTACTCGATGCATCCTCTGAGCATGTACATGCCTCATTCCTGCGACCCTCAGACTCCCGTCCGCGTTAGCAGCTTTGGAGAAGAGTCCAAGCGGCAATTTTGAGACGCGTGTGAATTGCACTGGATGGCTGCCTGTAGTTAGTTGAAATGGGCGCTGCCGTGCTGCATCTTAGTTTGTCGGCCATATCACTGCGCTGCACTCAACTGGGTTATTTTATGCATCCCATGCATATGCAAATACACCTTACACAGCAGAGTGAGATGTGCAAGGCCCACTGCAATAATAATGTAGCATCACTGCACCTGACACCAGTCTGCATCAGCAGCAGTCTGACAGGGGTTGAAATAGCAGTCCTAAGAGCCGTTGCTAATATCAAGTATTGGCAAGACACAAGTGTGGGCAACCCAGAATTAATGCTGTATGGATGTTGCGCTGGTTACTGTACAAGAATTACTTAAAGCGGAGTTTCCAAGGTTGGCTGAACCGTCAGGGTACAAGTCGAGTCAAACCAGTGGGTTCGGTATGGAAAATTGGCAGACAGTCAGCTTCCAGTCAGCTTTTTGACGGGAAAAAAACTGGCGGGTATTTCGAGAAATCGAGGTGATGCATCCTGATCTGCTAGTTCCAGCTTCACCCTTTTTCGCTCATGCAAAGTCCACTAACTACTACTACCTTGTTAGCTAGTTGTTCACATAGACGGGAATCTCTAAATTATTCCGCTGTAGTCGAAGCAGCTGTGTTGTCTCTGTCTTTCAGAGCACGTGAGTCGGGAGATGCTGCCTGTTCAAGGACTTCGTGACTCGACTGACAGAATGCGAGTCGCTCGACGGATTTCGTTAGGTCGACGAATTTCATCAGCTCAGCGTTTCCTGTTTCTTACTTATGCTATTGCCCTTATACACGTGAGTCTCGTTACTGGCGACACTTTCGGCGACGCAGTTATCATTGTCACGTAGTATTCATTAAAGAAAAGCTGTTTTAGATCACCCATGCAGTTTTTCGTCATGTTTCATGATCGCTTTTCTATTATTTACGTTTGTCCGTTCTAAAGGTCACCCATGCAGTTGTCATAGCGGAAGTTCGAACGTTAATCTGTCATTAGTTATGAGCTTCCTCTTGATTCGATTCCACACGAGGTTGTCCGAAATAGAAGCAGCTGGATTTTTTACTCAATGTTTATGCTTTGGCGTTCCGCATCCCTCGTCTCTCCTCGCAGCCACTTAGCCTTTCCCGGCCTTTCCCTTACCTTCCCTTATTGTCACATCAGGTTGGGAATGCAGCAGACGAGCGCATTCACCACCGCGATGCCCTTGTGAGTGGATGAATGGCATGATGTGAGTGCAGCATGGTGCGATGACGTGCGTGCAGCATGATGCGATGGTGTATGTGCAGCATGGTGCGATGATGTGCATGCAGCATGATGCGATGGTGTATGTGCAGCATGGTGCGATGATGTGCATGCAGCATGATTCGATGGTGTATGTGCAGCATGGTGCGATGATGTCCGTGCAGCCTGATACGAGATGTGCGTACAGCCTGATGTGTTGTTTCGAGTGAAGCATGATGTTTCTCTGGGAGTTTTTTTGGCTAACTCCCCCCTCCATGCAAATTGCTCATGTTTCTTACGCCTCTGCTTCCCAATACACCCGCAGTGACCCAATTACTTCATCCCTCCCCAACCCCGTCCCCTTCCCCACCGCCAACTTGCTCCTCCCCTTTTCAGTCTCGGGCCATTATAGATGCTTTCCCGGACGTCCCCACTCTCATCGATTTCGGTTTCCCCGATCATTTATGTGGGACATGGCATCACAATTACACTCGCATGCACCAGCAAATCCGGGCAGCCAGCAAAAATCCATCCTCTGCCCCGCCGCCTGACACGCCGCCCGTGAAATTTCTCACCTTTGACGGCCTCAGCCACTGCGACAGCCTTGGGGAGACCCTCATGGGGCTGACGTCAGCATTCACTGTAGCTCTCCTCACTAACAGAGCCTTCGTTATAAAGCACCCGTGCATTCCCATGGCGTTTGAACCGGCGCTAATCGACTGGCAGCCGACCGAGGACGTGGGATTTGAGCCGGTCAGAAACGAAACTTTTCCATTGGACCCTCCTGACCGGGCAGTCACGCCGCCAATAGGAGCGAGCGATATTGTGGAAGTTAATCTGGAATTACATCCCCAGGCGCACCCGGAAAAGGTGTTTCCGAAGGTGGAAGCTGCGAGGAACCTGCGTGTGGTGTGGAATAAGGATCTGCTAGTGCATATGCTGAAGGGGGCGAATGAATCGGTGTGGGGGGAGAGACTCAGGGCCATGGGCGTGCGAATTCCATACGCTTTTGGCTGCTTCGTTCGATACCTGTTGAGGTGGGTGATTGGAAGGGTGAGGTTGTATCTAAGGGCGAAAGTGGGTCGGAGTGGACGCAAATGCATGTTGATGTTGTAGTCCCACCCTCCCTTCCTCCCTTATGTAATCCCGTTCATTTTGAGTAGAGCTTTTTATCCCTCTTCTCCCTTCTCGCTCTCCCCTCCTCGCCAGGCCCAAGCCGGAGGTGTGGCACAGGATGCAGCCGTTTGAGAAGCAGCTGAGGGGCGACAAGGTGGTGAGCATCGGCATGCACGTGCGGCACTTCGGCCGCGGGCCCCCCCCACCCAACACCACCGTTAGCCCGGAGGAGGTGAAGCAAGTAATGGACGACGTCGTGTGGCCCGCCATTGAGTGCGCCAAGGTGGGTGCACAGAAAACAATACCAAGGAAACTACCAATTCGTCCCATCTCTAACACTCACTCAGCCCAAACCCCCTTTCCCCCAGACGCATCTTACAGAATTTGGAAAACTGGTGGTATTCGCCAACTCTTGACGTGAAGTGGCTCGTTATTAGCGACTCGTTGCAACTTAATGTTTTATGAGACGATTTTTATTCAACTTATAAATCTTCTGTTCCCACCCCACACATGTAACAGAATCTGGAAAACTGGTGGTATCCGCCAACTCTTGACGTTAAGTGGCTCGTTATTAGCGACTCGTTGCAACTCAAACAGGAGGCTACCAAAGTGAACGATTCTAAGGTGATGTGAAAATATTCCAGGGTGATGTGATGCAATATATCTGAGTTCAAAGGTGGTGTGATTATAGCGAGTCCAAGGGCAAGTCTTGTCTCAGCCCCCCTTCCCCCCGTGCTAGAGATCTTTCAAATTGAGTCGCATTGAAGTTACCCCTCTTGCTAAACATTTCCTGTTCTTTTTCAGCCACCCTTGGTCTCGTGATAAAAGTGTAGTTTTGAGACGTCTGAAAACTACACTTTTATCACGTGGCTACATTTCCTGTTCTTTTTCAACCACCCTTGGTCTCCTCCCTCGGCTCACTGCAGATTGTGATCACCGAATTTGAACCGTGATTCCCACCCTCCCTCCTCAGCGTCAGCACCACCAAGGCTTTCTGTTAAAAGAAACCCATTCCCCCACCTCCCCCTTACCTCCTTTCCCCACCCTGCTTCCTTTGCAGTTTGTGATCACCGAATTCGAACCGTGGGCCCCACCCTCCCTCCTCAGCGTCAGCCAGTAACACCCATGGCCCCCAATAACAAACTCCTCACCCCTTCTCTCCCCGTGTTTCCCCTCTCACTGCAGATTGTGATCACCGAATTTGAACCGTGGGTCCCACCCTCCCTCCTCAGCATCAGCCAAAGCCCCCCTCCCCCACCCGCGCCTGCACCCCCTCCCTCCTCCGACCCTTCTTCCAATCCCACCACCCCTGAGGGACCCCCTCTTCCTGCAATCCCCTCTGTGCAAACCTTTCAAGAGACAGTCACTGAGTGGCTGCTGCTCTCCTCGTGCAACTCCTTTGTCGTTTCGACATCCGCCTTTGGCCGTACGGCTGCCATGTACTCAATGCACCCTATGAGCATCTACACACCGCAGTCGTGTGAGCCTCAGACTCCCGTCCGCGTCAGCAGCTTCGGAGAGGGGTCACAGCGGCAGTTTTAAAGCACATGGCATTGCACGTTGCACATTGCAGCTTCGGGGAGGGGTTTTAGAGGCATTCCTGAGGAGCATGCTATTGCATGTTGCACCTCTTAAGCTGCATGTTAAAACCGCAATCTCTTCCCATGTTTTCGTTGCATCCCATTACTGGCTCGGTCTAGCTAAGCAAAGAAACAAGGGTGGCTTGCAATCAGGGCCTCAGAAGTCAGCGAAAAAAGGCTGATTTAGGGTCTGGACGCTAATTTCCCAGGCATATGGCTGATGTGTTGGCTGATAATTCAGTTTTTTTTTATTTGTGTTGGCTGATTCTTCAGGTTTTTTTTTTAAGTATTGGCTGATTTTCCAGCGTTTTTTTACAAGTGTCCGCTGATTGATCAGACTTGTAACGAGAGTGTAGGCTGAACTCACGCTAGTACAGATTCGTGCCGGAGCCGTGTTTTTCGGCTGTCCATGTACATCCACCGTCAATCACGCAAAAGTAGCCACGTACAGCGCCGACGCGGCGGGAAAACGAATTTCCCCGACGAGTCGGTTGCTTCGTTGTCACCGACAGAATGCTTCAATTGATGTGATTGGTTGTTTAACCAATCACATCCCTTATGCGCCATTCACCAACCACCAGGGCAGCACAGCACAGCACCTGCTAAACTTAATGAACAAAGTGCTTAAACATAGATCAGCCTGCATTTTTTAGTGAGGCTGATTAGTCAGCGTTTTTTTAGGTGACTTGTCTGAAAAATCAGATTTTTTTTTTGAACCAACTCTGATTGATCAGCCTAGCGTAGCCTGCTAAGGCTGACGTCTCAGCCAAGCTAAAAACGAATCTGAGGCCCTGCTTGCAATCATTTACATGGAGCCTGTAGGAACACTAGCAGCGCCAGTGCTGTTGTAATGAGACTCGATGATGCAAGGGTTCCATTCAAGTACAGAAGCAGGAGAATACATCATACAATGCAACAGTGTCACACAGTCTTTTAAATTGACTTGAAAGTCAGCTTGTTGCATTCATCTGTTGTGTGCTACATAGGATACAGAAGCAGGATACATCAATACTGTTGGGCTGAGAAGGCCCTTAAGGATCTTTGCAGAGGATAACTCTGGGTAGGAAACTTGTAATAGCGGAAGCGTTTAATGAATCTTGTGAACCGACCTTGCACTAGTGTGTGAGAGCAAAGTAGATTGAATTAAACAAGCAAATACAAGGTTTTATATAAGAGTACAGGGAATACGAATGGATAGATAACTGTATTTGCTGTTGCGATCCGATACAGTGCGACTCGGGCAACTGCTCTGTAACGAGTCAGTTGTGTGTCCTTAACTGTCGCGCTGTAATTGTCGAGTCAAAGGTCGCTGACCTTTGACTTTCTCGTAACCTCCAGGCGGTTACCCTAACCTCCGAGGTTTGACTCGATGCTTCGATTCGGACTGCTTCGCTAGTGTCTTGGGTTTTGACACGACAGAAGCGCACTAAGACTTATTGTTTCCAACACTCCCCTTCGCTTCTGGATCGCCGCAGGTGACGTGGCCTTGTCCAGTCAGCATCATGCAGTATTCGAACTTCTGCTTTCCGAGCTTCTTGGTCAGGTAATCGGCTGCCATCTCAGATGTTGGACAGTATGACAGATCGAGTTTCCCCTTTTCGATCTCGTCCTTCACGAAGAAATAGCGCAGGGCGATGTGTTTCGTCCTGTTTGCGAAGCCGTTCTTGTTGGCGATGCGAATTGCTGACTGGTTGTCGCAGAACACGGTGAAGCTGGGTAACTCGGCTAGCTTCGCTTCTTCCAGTAGTTCGCGAAGGTAAAGTCCCTCCTTGGTGGCTGAGCAGAGTGCAATATATTTCGCTTCAGCTGAAGACATTGCGATTAACTCCTGCTTACTCGACTGCTAGGAGATAGGACCGATAGGTTCGAGGCGGTAGACATAGCCGGTGCGTGAGCGTCTGTTATCGGTGTCGCCAGCGTGATCGGCGTCGACGTAGCCGATTAGCTTGGTCGGTGTAGTTGCGTTTTTGTGATAGGTTAATCCGATCGTCGCGGTGCTGACGAAATAGTGGAGTTGTCAGAATATTATTCTTATGTTCTAGCCTGTAGTGGGGTGCTCTATAGCGAGTACAACCCTTCTAGGGTTTGCTATTTGTATCCCCATTTCTGCTAGTTCATTCCTCTTTCTTCTTCTAACTTTTGTCAGGCATGTGACTGCTGCGAAGAGAAGACATCCGAGCTTCTTCTGATAGTCGCGTATGCCGGCGGGCTTGAGTAGAGTAGATCGTCCCTTTTCGGTTCCTGACGTGTAGCGGTAAGGCGTGGAGATGGCGCTTGGTGTGAGGCCGAAGCGTTTCGCGATGGTGTCGGCGTACTTCTCGGCGCTTAGATAGATTGCGTTTTCTTCCTCGCGGATGTTGAGCCCGAGGTACTGCGTAACGGTAGAAGAGACCGTAAGCGTGAGGTCTTTCTGAAGCTCCCCTTCGAACCACGTGGCGATGCCGTCAGTTGACCCAATGTAGAGGAGATCGTCCACGTAGACGATTAGGAGAACGTAGTCGCTTCCCTTGTGACACGACTTTCAGAGGAGTGTGCAGTGCAGTCGTCATAGCATTTCAAATCTCAATAATACAGCACACTCAGTATCAATTAGTACAATATTATGTTGAAACAAAACCTAAGTGGGAAATGGGGAGTGGAGGGTGGGAGCAAGAGAGTTGGAAATTGCAAATGAGACTAGGTGGCAGGTCCCCAAGACCTGCCGAGAGATGAAGGAGCTTGTCTCCTTTACAGCACACCCCTCTTCAAATCGAATCACAATCTGCAAATTTTTTATTATAAAAAATTTCTCATCTTTGTGAGGCGATACATGCCCTGGTCATGCGGGAGTTGTTTGAAACCGATGCGGATGAGGCGGGCGTGTAGGTACTGCTGCCACAGTCGCGGTGCCTGCTTGATCCCGTAGAGCGATTTAAGCAGTTGACAGACTCGGTTGGGTTCGCCGTGGGAGCCGTGCGGGAGCTCGACGAAGATTTCTGCATCTACAGGTGCGTAGAGGAATGCGTTTGCGACGTCGATTTGTCGCAATTTCTTTTTCTTCATGGCGGCGACGGCGATGAGGATTCGGAGTGAGGTGTGACGGCTGACCGGAGCGAAGGTTTCGGTGTAATCTCTTCCGTGCTCCTAGTCAAAGCCGCGTACGACCCAGCGAGCTTTGAATTTGTTGATGGTGCCGTCGGCATTCGTCTTCACACGGAAGACCCACTTTCCGGTAAGGATAGTCTTGTTTTGTGCTACGCCGATGGGAACGATTTTCCAGGTGTTGCGCTCCTCCAGTGCCTTCAGTTCTTTGTCCATGGCTTCACGCCATTTCTCCCTGTGTTCCCCCCCCAGAGCCTGTTGAACCGTCGCAGGCTCCTTAGGAATGGCGGCGCCATGGACTGCGGTGACGAGACCAAGGATTTGCAGCCCAGTCTGTGAGTATCGAGGGAGTTCTGGATCCTCGGGATAAGCTGCTTCGTCTCCCGATTCTGGGTCGGGTATGAAATTCGGCCCTACCCTTTCTGCTTCGTTGGTGTTGACTGTCGCAGGTGTTACGTAACCATTGTCGGCGAAATGGTAGAAGACTTCGGCGTTGTTACTGTCGCGAGGATTTTCCTCATCCATGGGCACGTCGACTGAGCAGTACGGAAGAGGTCCGGCTTCCTCCGATGCGTTGTCGACGTTCTGCTCATCCCAGTCTGCTTCATCCGCTGCTGACGCGAAGGCTCGGTCACCACGAAAGCCACTGGTGAGGTCCCGATTCTCGTGCAAGTTGGCGAGGTACGTCTGAAGGGTGAGGCGTTCATAGAAGATCACATCTCGTGCTGCTACTGTTTCTTTTGTGTGGACGTCGAAGATTCTCCACGCGTTGTAATTTTTCTCGATGCCGAGGTGTAGTCCCCACTGTGCCCGTTGTGAGAATCTTCCCGCTCGTGCTTCTGGGGGTCTGTACTGTACCATGCACCCGAAGACTCGTAACATTTTTGTGCTGCCCTGCTTCCTTGTCCACAGCAGATGCGGTGATGCGTTGTTCGGGAGTGACGACGACGACAACAAGTTGTGCAGCATGACAGCATGGTCCATTGCTGCTGGCCACTGGTGGTTGGGTAGCCGCATGCCACGTAACAGTTTGCGCATGCTGTTCTGCAGAGTCCTGTTCATTCATTCTGCGACATCTTGCTGCTGATGTGCGTAGGGAAGGGAGAGGAGTTGCTTGATCCCCCTTTCCGCCAGGAACTGCTTGAAGCGCTGAGAGGTGTACTCGCCACCTCCGTCTGACTGGAAGCTTTTCAGTTGCGTTCCAGACTCTCTCTCTGCTATCGGTAGCCAGGCGGCGAATGCTGCGAGTGCCATGTCGCGGCTGGGTAGGTTACGATGCCAGACATATCGAGTGGCGGCGTCGATGAAGGTGATGGTGTAGTTGTAGTTAACTTGTCCTGGTTCGCGATTGTAGAGGATGTCGCTGTAGACCTTTTCGAGTGGTGCGTACGCTGGAGCGCTCGGGTTGTGATGTGGAGCAAACGGTCGATGAGGTAAGTCAGCTTCGGGACATATAAGGCAAGTCCCTCGTGCCTTTTGGAGTTCTCTGCCATCGGGTAGAAGTAGGGAGTCTTTGTCAAGAACTCCTGCTCTTATCGTGTTATTTAAAACCGTGTTGCTTGGATGTCCTGTGCGTGCGTGCCAGATCTCTTCAGAGGCGCGGTGTCTGGGTGAACGTTGGTATGCGTCGGAGTTGGAGTAAAAACTGGCGACGAAGTTGGCGCTTCAGTGGACTTCACGTTGAGTCGGATTCAGCTGTTGCGCTGGTTTTGGTGGTGCTTCGTCGACTGTGACCGGTGTCGTTGTTCCTGCTGCTGCTGATGTTGTCGCTGCTCCCGATGTTGTTGCTGCTGCTGCCGATGTTGTTGCTGCTGTCGATGTTGTCTCTGCTTCTGTTGTTTGTTGAATCGTCGCTAACGCTCGTGTTCGTTCTGCTTCAGGGATAGTGTGGGAGTACCAAAAACCTCCCGGGCTGAAGTCGGGGTCGAGATCAGGAGGGTGTGTCCAATCAGTAAAATTCACGATGGCGTCGCTGTCTGCAGTGCCCAGGTCAGGAACGAAGTCGATGACGAAGACGTTGTTCTTCAGCACTGCCTTCCCGATGTAGAGACCGCCTTTCCCGTGGTATAGCTTGAACTCCTGGGTGGTGCTGTCGGCTTCCAGGTGAATCCCCTTCGCCATCAGCTGGCTAACACTCAGTAAGTTGTAACCGAGACCTTCAACAATGAGTACCTTAGACATGTGCAGTATGACATTTGTTTCTCTTGACTGAAGCTGTACCACTCCTTGTCGTCGTGTGCGCAGGTTTTGATTGTTGGCGACCGTGATGATCACTTCTCGTTGGAGTCGATGTTCGCGTTGTACGAAGCGCCCGGACGAGCACATGTGTTGCCCGCAGCAACTATCCAAGAACCAAGTGTCTTGGCCGGACGGTTCACTTTGAGCGATGGCGGCGTAAGTCGGATTCGGGTGGAGTGATTCGCGGCGAGGCGTCCTGTTGTCGAGCTCCTCTTCTGGTGAGTAATGGGGTGGTGACTCTGTTGTGCAAGAGTCGTTTATCTTTACCATGCAGTTGACTATGTTTCTTGCTCCTTGTGCAGGTTGTCCAGTTGAAGTCGTTGAAGCTTGAATCGTTGTTGTCGGACTTGCTTGCGTTGAAGCAACTTGTGAGCTTGAAGGCCGCAGTTGTCGCTGTGGTGTTGTGTGACGAGACGGGCAATGCGTGCGGGGGTGTCCTGATGTTTTGCAGATGTGACAAAACGGAGGTACTGACTTCGGCTGCTGCTGTCGGTTGTTGTAGTTGTTGTGTCGTCGCTGAGTGTGGAAAGCGAACTCCGGTGCTAATGCCCTTTTCTTGTGCCTTTCTTCTTGCAGGTCCATATCATGCTGCTCGGCGTGGATTTCGGCGCAGAGTGCCGCTTCGGAGATCCTCCCGTGTGCTAGAAGAATTGCTTTGGTGGCGCGCCACTGAGGACCGAGGCCACCGATGACGACTGTTACGAAGGCGTCTTCAGAGATTGATCCCCCGCATCGAAGAAGCTTGTCGCGCAATTCGCGACATCGGCTGATATACGCTAACCCCTTTTCTCCTGGTTTCATTTCAACTGTTGTCAACTGCGCCATTAACCTGCTCTGGTTTACACTGACTGTTGCCTGATACAGGTTCTTCAGATGGCCGTACGCAAGTTCCGCCGAGTTGCCGAAGTTCCGGTAAGAGCGAATGTTCTGCTGCTGGGTTGGTGTGATGTTTCTCAGTAGAATAGTATACGCCATCATCGATTGATACGTATACTGCTGCTTCTCATACTGTGTGCCGTTTGCTGGATACTGCAGGGATCTGTCGAAGAAGTCGAGTATCTGCGCGCCCTCCATCATCAGCTCGAATTCAAAGGACCAGGTGAAGAAGTCCTTTCCGTCGAAAGGTCTTGACGTTTGTAATTTCAAAACATGCGCGAATTGCGACTGAACTTGTAACGCGTCCATTGGTTTGTCTTGCGCAGGTGAAGGTTGAGGCAGGAAGCTGATCGACCCGCGCTCGTACGGGGCGAAGGTGGGTTGCTGCTGTTGATTCCCTCGCGCATATGACGACCCATCAAGGCTCATGGGTGTCGCTCCGTTGTTGCTGTTGTGTGTCTGTGCAGGTCCCGACTGCTGGTGTTGCTCGTAGAAGGACATGAAGGAGAAGAATTTCTCCATCATGCTCTGGTCGAAGTCAGAAGGGTGATTCGTGGGGGTCTCGGTTGACGTTCCCCTTGGTCTTGCTGCCGTGCCTTCCTCTGTCTGCAGGCCAGAGGCTGGTGGTGGAGTAGGAGTAGTGCCCGAGGAGCCATTAGGGGAGCTCCTTTCCTTGTTTGTTGCCATGTCTTGTAATATAAAAAATTTAGAGTTTCCCCTGTCAGCTCTCATACCATGTTGGGCTGAAAAGGCCCTTAAGGATCTTTGCAGAGGATAACTCTGGGTAGGAAACTTGTAATAGCAGAAGCGTTTAATGAATCTTGTGAACCGACCTTGCACTAGTGTGTGAGAGCAAAGTAGATTGAATTAAACAAGCAAATACAAGGTTTTATATAAGAGTACAGGGAATACGAATGGATAGATAACTGTATTTGCTGTTGCGATCCGATACAGTGCGACTCGGGCAACTGCTCTGTAACGAGTCAGTTGTGTGTCCTTAACTGTCGCGCTGTAATTGTCGAGTCAAAGGTCGCTGACCTTTGACTTTCTCGTAACCTCCAGGCGGTTACCCTAACCTCCGAGGTTTGACTCGATGCTTCGATTCGGACTGCTTCGCTAGTGTCTTGGGTTTTGACACGACAGAAGCGCACTAAGACTTATTGTTTCCAACAAATACAATGCAACACAGCGGGCTCGCGGAACTGCCACTTTGAGTGGTTGTCTAGACTGATGACAGGAATGGGTCACAGTGCTTGCACAAATGCATCATGTGGACGGTGCAGCATTGGGTACAAAGGCAACTTGGGAAACCTGATAGATGCGATTGCGCCACCATGCAGACATTTACGGTAAATGCTGTGTTGAATACACGATGATGATCGCCCAGCCCATAGACGGATGAACGCCAAGGGAAACCAACTGCAACCTGGTCAAGCCTTTTACGGAACGAGAATCAGAACTGCCGCTGTGTGACCTGTGGATAAAAATGCTGATGGTACATTGAATGCAGGGAGGCTGTACACTCAGAACTGCCGCCGTGACCAGGAAACGAGACTACTGATGGGTACGGGCGCCTGTGGTCTGCATGAGTGAGTCATGTAAATGCTCATCAGCTGCATTGAGTACATTGCAGCCGTACGGCCAACGGGAGGTCAACAACGGCCTCAGAACTGCCGCCGTGACCAGGAGACGAGAGTACTGATGGGTACGGGCGCCTGTGGCCGGCACGGATGCGTCATGTAAATACTCATCGGCTGCATTGAGTACATAGCTGTCAAAAGGGACCCGTAAGGCAACTAACAGATGTGAGCACGCTCAGAACTGTCGCCGTGACCAGGAGACGAGAGTACTGATGGGCACGGGCGCCTGTGGCCGGCACGAGTGCGTCATGTAAATACTCATCGGCTGCATTGAATACATAGCCGCCGTACGGCCAAAGGCGGAGGGCGACACGACAAACGAGTCGCAGGAGGAGAGCAGAAGCCACTCGGTGACTGTCTCTTGGAATTCTTGAACGGTGGGGATGGGAGGGAGAGGGGGGCCGGTTGGGGTGGGCGTGGGGGGGGTGGAATTGGAAGGAGGAGGCGGAGGGGGAGGGGGAGGGGGGCGGATGCTGAGGTAGGGGGATGGGATCCATGGGGTGAACTCGGTGATGACAATCTGCAGAGAGGGGGGGAGCATAGGCAGGGAGGGGTTGAAGAGATATTACTAAGGAGGGGGGCGATGCTGAGGTAGGGGGATAAGATCCACGGGGTGAATTCGGTTATTACAATCTGCAAAGGAAAGTGGGGGGGAAGGGCAGGAGTACCGGGGGGAGTAGAGGGGAGTAGGAGGGGGCATTGGACGGGGCGGATGCTGAGGAAGGGGGAAAGGATCCACGGGGTGAACTCGGTTATTACAATCTGCAAAGGAAAGGGGGGGAACACGGGGAGGGGGTGAGTAAGTCTAGAGAATAAGAAAGCAACCGGAAGGGGGATGGGATCCACCCACGGGGTGAACTCGGTGATGACAACCTGAAACGAAAGTGGGTAACGGAGGGAGGACCTATGGGGAAAAAAGGGCTATGAGTTTTGTTTGAGGGGCCTTGGTCATTACAGGCTGACGCCCATGGGGTGAACTCGGTGCTGACAGCCAGAAACGAAAGTGGGGTGAGTGGTGGTGGGGGGAGTAGCAGAGCCAAATCACTTTACCATTTCAGTTGGCGTTTGAGTCGTTTCGAAATTCAATTCTTTTGATCGAAATTCAACTCTTTTGAGTCGGCTCGAAATTCAACTATTTTGAGCCGTCTCGAAATTCAACTCTTTTGAGTCGTCTCGAAATTCAACTCTTTTGAGTCGTCTCGAAATTAAACTCTTTTGAGTCGACGCGAACATGCAGGCTGGAACGTGCAAACTTCCCTCATCAAACATCACGTGGACCTGTTATAGCCAAAACACCTTGGACTCGTTATAGCCAAATCACCTTGGACTCGTTATAGTCACATCACCTTGGACGAGTTACAGTCACATTACCTTAGACTCGTTTCCTTTCATGGCCTCCTGTTTGAGTTGCAGCGAGTCGCTTATAACGAGCCACTTCACAGTGAGGGCCGATGAGTACCACCAGTTTTGGACAGTCTGTTGTTTTTGGGATGAGGATGCAGGAGCAAGGAGAGAAATGTGGATTGCCTGAGCTGTAACGCATGGCTACTGACATGCCTGATAACGAGCCTCTTCACATCATTAGTCTTCGGTACGACCAGTTCTCCAGAATCTGTTGGTTTGGGGGATGGGGGTGCATCAAGATGGGGGTGTGAGGACTCTGCGTGGCTACTGACATGCCTGACAACGAGCCATTTGATTTTTGAGTCGACTCAAAAATCAGCCTGATAACAAGCCATTTCACTTCACGGTGAGGGTTGATAATTACCACCGATTGTGCACATTCTGGTGTTGTGGGATGGGCATGCAGGAACAAGAGGAGAGAGGTGGACTGATTGATAGGGAGTGGGTGGACTTTTCAACGAGCCACTTCACTTCACGGTGAGGGCTGACGAGTACCACCAGTTGTGCACATTCTGTTGTTTTGGGAGGGTGGAGAGTGGGAGAGTGGGGGGGGCGCGTGTGCGCAAGCAAAGGGGGAAAGGTGGACAGCATGAGCTGCACCGGGTTGCTAATAACGAGCCACTTCACTTCACAGTGAGGGCTGAGGAGAGTACCACCAGTTCTGCACGTTCTGTTGCTGTGAGGTGGGGTTGCAAGAGCAAGGGGGGAGAGGCCTGGACTGATTGATAGGAAGGGGGTTGATATTCAACGAGCCACTTCACAGTGAGGGCCGACCGAGCAGTACCACCAGTTCTGAACGTTCTGTTGTTGAGGGGGAGAGAAGGAAGGGAAGTAGAGGACTGAAGGAATTGCAACGTTTTGTTGATGAAAGGACAGACCCAATAGCGAGCCCCTTCACAGTGAGGGCTTTTGAGGCGCCTCAAAAGACAGACCCAATAGCGAGCCACTTCACAGTGAGGGCTTTTGAGGCGCCTCAAAAGACAGACCCAATAGCGAGCCCCTTCACAGTGAGGGCTTTTGAGGCGCCTCAAAAGACAGACCCAATAGCGAGCCACTTCACAGTGAGGGCTTTTGAGGCGCCTCAAAAGACAGTCCCAATAGCGAGCCACTTCACAGTGAGGGCTTTTGAGGCGCCTCAAAAGACAGACCCAATAGCGAGCCACTTCACAGTGAGGGCTTTTGAGGCGCCTCAAAAGACAGACCCAATAGCGAGCCACTTCACAGTGAGGGCTTTTGAGGCGCCTCAAAAGACAGACCCAATAGCGAGCCACTTCACAGTGAGGGCTTTTGAGGCGCCTCAAAAGACAGACCCAATAGCGAGCCCCTTCACAGTGAGGGCTTTTGAGGCGCCTCAAAAGACAGACCCAATAGCGAGCCACTTCACAGTGAGGGCTTTTGAGGCGCCTCAAAAGACAGTCCCAATAGCGAGCCACTTCACAGTGAGGGCTTTTGAGGCGCCTCAAAAGACAGACCCAATAGCGAGCCACTTCACAGTGAGGGCTTTTGAGGCGCCTCAAAAGACAGACCCAATAGCGAGCCACTTCACAGTGAGGGCTTTTGAGGCGCCTCAAAAGACAGACCCAATAGCGAGCCACTTCACAGTGAGGGCTTTTGAGGCGCCTCAAAAGACAGACCCAATAGCGAGCCACTTCACAGTGAGGGCTTTTGAGGCGCCTCAAAAGACAGACCCAATAGCGAGCCACTTCACAGTGAGGGCTTTTGAGGCGCCTCAAAAGACAGACCCAATAGCGAGCCACTTCACAGTGAGGGCTTTTGAGGCGCCTCAAAAGACAGACCCAATAGCGAGCCACTTCACAGTGAGGGCTTTTGAGGCGCCTCAAAAGACAGACCCAATAGCGAGCCACTTCACAGTGAGGGCTTTTGAGGCGCCTCAAAAGACAGACCCAATAGCGAGCCACTTCACAGTGAGGGCTTTTGAGGCGCCTCAAAAGACAGACCCAATAGCGAGCCACTTCACAGTGAGGGCTTTTGAGGCGCCTCAAAAGACAGACCCAATAGCGAGCCACTTCACAGTGAGGGCTTTTGAGGCGCCTCAAAAGACAGGCCCAATAGCGAGCCACTTCACAGTGAGGGCTTTTGAGGCGCCTCAAAAGACAGACCCAATAGCGAGCCACTTCACAGTGAGGGCTTTTGAGGCGCCTCAAAAGACAGACCCAATAGCGAGCCACTTCACAGTGAGGGCTTTTGAGGCGCCTCAAAAGACAGACCCAATAGCGAGCCACTTCACAGTGAGGGCTTTTGAGGCGCCTCAAAAGACAGACCCAATAGCGAGCCACTTCACATCACAGTGAGGGCTGACGAATACCACCAGCTCTGCACATTCTGTTGGTTCGGGGGGATGGGGGTGTACGAGCAAGGAGGGAGAGAAGGAGTGATTGCGTTCCACCAGGGTATGGGGTTTTGTGGGCAACGAGAACAATCACCCTCCTTTCCGCAGCTCCTCCGGGCTGACAGTGGCGTTGGGCCGGGCGGGGCCTTGGCCGAAGTGCCTCACGTGCATGCCGATGCTCACCACCTTGTCGCCCCTCAGCTGCTTTTCAGAGCGGAGGGGAGGGGGACTACCCTCAGCATTAGGTCGGGCGGGCCCTTGGCCGAACTGCCTCACGTGCATGCCGATGCTCACCACCTTGTCTCCCCTTTCAGTGACAGACCCTCACCTCAGCGCACTGAAAGGCCGGCCGCACTGAGTCGTTCATTCCTTTCTGCAGCTCCTCTGCGCTAACGGTGGCGTTGGGGCGGGCGGGGCCTTGGCCAAACTGTCTCACGTGCATGCCGATGCTCACCACCTTGTCGCCCCTCAGCTGCTTCTCAAACGGCTGCATCCTGTGCCACACCTCCGGCTTGGGCCTGGCGAGGAGAGACAATGGGGAAATGGAAAAGGATAGGCGAAACTGAGAAGGAAAGAGGAAACTGACAAGGATAAAGAAAAATGAAAGGGAAAGAAGGAACTGAAAGGGAAAGAGGAAACTGAAAGGGAAAGAGAAAGGATACATGAAGGGCATACGGAGTGTGGGAATCAACGAGGCTTATTGTGAACCCTCCAAACACCCAGCCATGTCCTCCCTCCCATCCCACCACTCACCTCTCACCTCTCACCTCCCACCTCCCACCTCTCACCATCTCACCATCTCACCATCTCACCATCTCTCACCTTAGCAGGTATCGCACCAAGCACCCGAACGAGTACGGAATACTGATGCCCATCTCTGTGAGTCTGTCTTTCCATGCCGATCCCTTCACATCCTTCAGCATATGCACCAGCAGGTCTCTGTTCCACACCACACGCAGGTTCCTCGCAGCTTCCACCTGCGGAAACACCTTCTCCGGGTTCGCCCTGTCATCTTTTTCCAGGTTGATCTCCACGATATCGCTCGCTCCTATTGGGGGATCGACCGCCCGGTCAGGAGTTTTCAGCGGAAAAGTTTCGTTTCTGACCGGCTCGAATCCGACGTCCTCTGTGGGCTGCCAGTCGATCAGCGCCGGTTCAAACGCCATGGGGATGCACGGGTGCTTTATAACGAAGGCCCTGTTAGTGAGGATAGCTACAGTGAACGCTGACGTCAGCCCCATGAGGGTCTCCCCGAGGCTGTCGCAGTGGCTGAGGCCGTCAAAGGTGAGAAATTTCACGGGCGGCGTGCCGGGCGGCGGGGCAGAGGAGGGATTTTTGCTGGCTGCCCGGATTTGCTGGTGCATGCGAGTGTAGTTGTGGTGCCATGTGCCACACAGGTGGTCTGGGAATCCGAAGTTGACGAGAGTGGGGACGTCCGGGAAAGCATCGATGATGGCTCGCGACTGAAAAGGGAAAAAGGTGTGGGGGAGGGGGGGGGCCAAGGCGGGAGGGGGAGGGCGGGTGGGCGCGGCGGGGGAAGAGGGGACGGGGAGGGAGGGCGGAAGGGGCAAGGGGAAGGAGAAAGGATGTTGGTGGTTCGGGCGAGCAGAGGAAACATGAAGACCCTGCTTGCGTGCGAGTAGGGTTGGTGCCAGTCAGGTGGTAGACAGGTGGCATTCAGGTGCCTGTCAGGTGCCTGTCAGGTGCGAGTCAGGTGCCAGTCAGGTGCCAGTCAGGTGGAAGTCAGAACAAGATTGTGGGGAGAACCACCAGCGCAACATCATGCCGCACTCACAGCATCACATCATGCTGCACTCACAGCATCACATCATGGCGCACTCACAGCATCACATCATGCTGCACTCACAGCATCACATCATGCTGCACTCACAGCATCACATCATGGCGCACTCACAGCATCACATCATGGCGCACTCACAGCATCACATCATGGCGCACTCACAGCATCACATCATGGCGCACTCACAGCATCACATCATGGCGCACTCACAGCATCACATCATGGCGCACTCACATCATCACATCATGGCGCACTCACATCATCCCATCATGCTGCACCGTGCAGTAATTTCGTGAGTGATACACATCATCCCATCATGGTGCAATCACATCACCACACCATGCTGCAGCCACAAAGACACACCATGCTGCACTGACATCAACACATCACCACACCATCCAACTGCTCACAAGCACATCGCGGTTGTGACCGCGCTCGTCTGCGGCCTTTGAGGCGCCTCAAAAGACATCAGGCATCATCACTCCATGCACCACTCTCATCATCACATCATCACACCATGCTTCACTCTCATCATGACATCAACAATCACCGCACCATTCATTCACTCACAAGGACATCGCGGTTGTGACCGCGCTCGTCTGCGGCCGCACTTCCAGCCTGATGTGACAATAACGGGGGAGGAATGAAGAGGAGAAGAGTAGGAGAACTCGGATACACATTAACCATATCCTAATCAGCTATTACAACATGATAAGTTCTTAGCCTATGCTGAGCACGGTTCCTAAGTCGGCTCCAAAGTTCCGAGAAAACTCACGTGCAGAAACGGAACGCAGACCAGCAGCAGAATCCGCACAGCTGAGGAGGCCCGTCGAGCGAGCATGGTCCCGTTCCGTCAAGTAACGAAACACGGATTAGCCTGACACAACTGTGCGCAGAGACAGCCTATGACAGCAGCACGTGTTCCAAGAATGAGGGTACTGTTACTATAAGAAGTAATAAGGAGAGATGGCAAAAAACTTCCTGCTAGCAGAAATAGAGAAGATTATCTGAGAATGAACGATTTACCAGCTGTGAATCCACGCTGTTTCCATTCCATCATGTAATGCTCCGTTCCACCTCATGACAAGGTTTTGGTTCGGTACAAAACGTTTACGCACGATTGAGAGCATTTTAAAGTGATGCGTTCCGTACATCCGTTTTCAGTGGTACAGTATCTTACCTCATTCGAAATGTCCGTACTTTCGTGCACGCAGTTTGACTTAGCATAACGTGGCGTGGACTCATGATTTTGGGCATACATTGCCGGCCGAAAATACAGGTCAATACAGGTTAAGCACGGTACAATATGTTCCAGAACGTTCTGACACGTTCGACAACGGTTTGAAAGCACCACAGATCGGTAGTCCCGAAGGCCGTCCTAACTCGCAACTGAACATTCATTCCAAGTCAAGGTTGCCTTCAAGGCGAATCTGTTATTCTCGATATGTTCTTCCTCGATAAGTAGCTGAGCACGGTGCACTTACCCTGTTATGCAGTAGAAACTGTCTGAAAGTCCAGCTTAAATTAGTCTCAAGCAATCATTACATTTCGCCCCCTCCCTCACACCTCTGGTATTGTGGTCAGACTTCTTATATCCACAAATTGTCCACACACATATCTTATCTGATCTCATTTCACAAATACACTTCCATTTGAAACTGTTCATTCGATAGGATGAATATACCAGGTAATTTTCACAACATAGGCCTACAGCAAACAACCTATGCAGCCATCGCCTCCCCACCCTCCTTCACACCCTCATCAACCTTCTGCACGTCTTCCTTCATCGCCTCAGTAGCATCACCACCTGCAGCAGCAGCGCCATCAGCAGGAGCAGCAGGAGCAACCTCCTCTGCCTGCTTCACACCCTCCTTCTCCTCAAGTTTGTGCAGCCGTGCAAACAGGTTGCCATAAATCTTCTTCTCCTTCTGGTTCTGCTCTGCAATCTTGCGCTTCAGCTGCCGATACTCTAGCTTCAGGTCCCTGGTAGGGGAATCAAGGGGGAAAAAACGGGAGGGGGACAACTTGTGAGTTAATTTTGAAGTTGACTTCCCTCTGGTTCTGCTCTGAAATCTTGTGCTGTCGATCAACAACCACACACTCACACCTGCGGTCACTCCCCTGCACTCACCTGTTCTCAGGGTCGAGATCAAGAGCCTTTTTCACGTCCCACTCCGCCAGGTCATAATCCTCCGTCCCCATATACGCCTGGGCGCGCCGATACAATGCAGTTGCTGTCAAAGTCCCTATTCCCACCAACGTGCTCACCTGTTCTCAGGGTCGAGGTCAAGAGCCTTCTATCCCACTCCGCCAGGTCGCAATCCTCCGTGCCCATATACGCCTGGGCTCCCCCTTAATTATACGGACATGCCTATCCAGTCGACCCATTACCCCACGGTCACCCTCCGTGCTCACCTGTTCTCAGGGTCGAGATCAAGAGCCTTCTTGACGTCCCACTCCGCCAGGTCATAGTCCTCAGTCCCCATATACGCCTGGGCCCTCCGATAGAGCGCCTTCACGTTCGACCCCTCCAGCTCCAGCACCTTACTCGTCAGCTTCACTGCCGCCGGGAAATCCTTCAGCTTCAGCTGGCACGCAGCCTCGTTCAACCCGCACGAGACTTTCAGCACCTTGCACGCCTTCTTCTCCTCGTCTTTGAACTGCGTGTCGTACTCGATCAGCTTCATCGCCTTGGAGTATTTTTTTGCTGCCCGGACGTATTTTCCGGACTTGAAGAGAACATTACCCTCCTCCTTTTTCTTCGCTGCATGCGCGACCTTCTCCTCGTCCCCTAGCTCCCAGGATTCCTTATCCTTAACAAATTCCGCCAGCCGAAGCTCGTACACCAGTGTAGAGTTGGCCGGTACTGTGCCTTTTTCCAGGGTCTTTTTCTCAGAGCCGTAGGCGTATTCTGGGGCAATGGTGACGGTGGCGAGCTCTCCCTTCTTCATCTTCATCACTGCCTTGTCCAGCCCAGGCACGACTTGCTCTGAAGGGAAGCAAAACGGGAAGGGGACAAAGGGACAGATGGGGACGGATTCGACAGAACCGCAGGCCTAAGTTGGGCAAAGCTGTTTCTCAGTTGGACTTGCTCTTTTGACTTTCTCAGCCTACTCCACTTTCCTCCCCAATGCCCCAGTGGCAAGTCACCCCTTTCCCCATTTCCACATTTCTTTGCACACAGCCAGCCCCACTTTCCATATCGTTGCAGAACCCCCCGTCCTCCTCCCCTCCCCCCCCACTTCCTTTTTATCTAACCGTCCAGAAGACCCACTCACCTTCATCCGTGGTGAACTCAAACGGCTCCTCCCCATCGCCCATGCCCTTCTCCTCCACCACTGTCCCATCCTCTAGGCGCAGAGTGTAGCGCACTGTGTGTGGGTATGAGGAGAAATAAGAGGGGAAGGAAAACGAGAGGTGGATTCAAATGCAAGGGAAACGAACCAAGTACTGCACTGCATGCCCTTCTCCTCCACCACTGTCCCATCCTCTAGGCGCAGAGTGTAGCGCACTGTGTGTGGGTATGAGGAGAAATGAGAGGGGAAGGAAAACGAGAGGTGGATTCGAATGCAAGGGAAACGAACCAAGTACTGCACTGCATGCCAAGACTACACAGCACAAACAAACAAGCTTACAGTCAAGCATATTAGGGTCAATACTCAGCTCAGCCCAGCCAAAACCAACCCAGCCAGAATTCCCACACCTGCAATTACCATTTACCTCGACAATTCAGCAGCACAAAACACAAGCAGGATGGGTGGATTCTCAACGGACTCATCGTTAGGTCGCTCGTACCGTACGCCTCCCCTACCAGAGCGAGTTCTACCAGAGCAACTCCTACCACAACTTTGCTAGAGCACGCACCTTTGACAACAGACTCGTCGTTGGGTCGCTCGTACCCCTCACCCGCCTCAATAACCTCCTTCATAACTTTCCCGTCCTCTGTCACCTTCTCCACCTTCCTCCACCCCACCAGCTCCAGGTCAATGCTCAGCCCAGTCCTAACCAGCCCAACCGACCGCAACCCAGCCCAGCCCAGCCCAACCCAGCCCAGCCGAGGCCGACTGCAAGTACCACCAGCACAACACTTACCTTTCACAACAGACTCGTCGTTAGGCCGTTCGTACCCCTCCCCAGCTTCAATCTCCTCCTTCATCACCTTCCCGTCCTCTGTCACCTTCTCCACCTTCCCCCGCGCCACCAGCTCCAAGTCAATGCTCAGCCCAGCCCAGCCACACCCAGCCCAACCCAGTCCAACCCATTCTCACCTTTCACAACCGACTCGTCATTGGGTCGCTCGTACCCCTCCCCAGCCTCAATCTCCTCTTTCATGACCTTCCCGTCCTCTGTAACCTTCTCCACCTTTCTCCACGCCACCAACTCCAGGTCAATGCTCAGCGTCTCGTTTGGCGGGATTGCCGGCTGGCCGTCAGTCTCTGGACGGCCGGCTTCTCCAAAACCGTCTGTTGATGTCCAGAGAAGAGCATGCAAAACACGTGTCGGTGAATTTTTTGGCCAGCATACAGAGAGCATCAGGGGCGAAAGCAGCACGTGAGCAGGACATTCCCGCCCTGGTGCATCGCCTTGATAATCCACTGGAGTGCCGCACGAAATGGCTTTACAAGGAGCAGAACGACAGATAGAATCGAACACTCACACTGTGGCTTCACAGTGAGCAGGACCTTCTCCCCCTGGTGCATCGTCTTGATTGCACGCGGGAGAGCCACAAGAACATGACCTAGAACGAGCAGAACTACTATACAAAACTTCTAAGGAACACTCACACTGGGGCTTCACGGTGAGCAGAACCTTTTCCCCCTGGTGCATCGTCTTGATGGCGCGCGGGAGAGCCGCGCAGAAGTGGCCGTCCTTGAGGTAAAACTGCTCGCCGTCGTCGCCCGTCTTGGTTACCACCGTGCCGTCGTGTAACCGCACCTCGTACTTCACTGCACGCACAAGAGAACCGTGCCAAAGTGGATTGGGACGTAGGGGTATAACCTTCAGTCTCAACCTCGCTGTAAGCCTACTCGGGCTTGAAAATAGAATCAAACCTCTCGCGAATCTCCACGGACGCGATACCTGTGAGCTTTCGCGTAATGAGACGTACCTGTGACTTTGTCCATGTCCTTAGGCGTCTCCCACTTCTTGCCCTCCACGAGGATCTTCTTGAACACGCCGCCATCGCCGCAGATGTCCTTCGCGCTGATCCACGACAGCAGCTCCACCTCGAAATTGAGCGTCGCGTTCGGCGGGATGGTCGGCGGAGAGCCAGCCTCACCTCAGCCTCGCTATAAGCATACTCGGGCTTGATTCCAATAAAATACCTCTTGCCTTCTGAAATTGATTCTAATATTGGGAGCTTCCGCGCAGTGAGGCGTACCTGTGACCTTGTCCATGTCTTTGGGAGTCTCCCACTTCTTGCCCTCCACGAGAATCTTCTTAAACACGCCGCCATCGCCGCAGATGTCCTTAACGCTGATCCACGACAGCAGCTCCACCTCGAATTTCAGCGTCGCGTTCGCAGGGATGGTCGGCGGAGAGCCAGCCTCGCCATAAGCGTATTCGGGTTTGATTGTAAACACGGATTTTTCGCCTTTCTTCATGGATGCGATACCCTTATCCCATCCCTTAATGACCTGGCCTGCACGCGACAATAACGAGAAACGCGGAGGGTGAGAGTTGAGCCATCGGAAATGCCCGGCCAGAAACGTCGTGTCGGCAAGTACGGAAACGGCCAAAGGCGAGAGCAAGTACGAGGAAACAGGGAGGAAACTGAACTAAGCTGGACTTGGGCATGGCTTTGAAATCATGGCTTACCTTGTCCCAGCTTGAAATTGAACGGCTCTCCTCTGTCCACGCTCGAATCGAACTTGGTTCCGTCCAGAAGGGTTCCGGTGTAGTGGACTGGGGAAGAGACGAGACATGACAAAAAGTATCGATGAATCGTGAGACTCGGCTTGTTCACGGGAAATTTAAAAGCAAAACAAGGTTAGGCAATTCAATGAGGACAAAAAAACTTGAAAATCCGGCGTAGCAACAACTAAGCGGACTTCCAGCACAAAACAATCCAGATCAAGCGGCAAGTAAAATCCTCCGACCGGATCTTCGTTCCCATCCTATTGAAAGGCAGATCGAATCTCCACTCCTACCTGACACCTCATCTCCAGCCTCGGGCTTGTCCCAGCCGTCGCCGGCCTTCACAAGCAGCTTCTTCACTCCGCCATCGCTCGTCAGATCCTTCTCCTCTCCTTCCGTCTGCGGAGCGTACGCAGCTTCGTCATCCTCATCCCCTCCCATCGGGATGTCCGTAGGCATGTCGCCGCTGGCGTTGAAGTCCATCTCCTCCTCCATTGAGATTACTACAGCAGCTTAAATCGGAAGCTGAGAACGGCCAGATAGATAGCTGTTGACAGCCGATCGCAGATGCCAACGGAAAGACTGATAGACGATCAGCGAGAAGAGCTAATGTTTCAGGTCAAATCAGTTGAAGATCAAGCTTCTTGCTGATTTTTATATCTGAATGGATTATGTTGAGCCAAATTGTGAATGCAAGTTCAAGCTGAACCTGGGTGAAGACGAAGGGCGGGACTGGGCTAGAAAGGGTAGTGATCTTTCTCGAGATTGCCAAGTCAGCGATCTTTCTGGGCCTTCGCCAACGACATGGCGACTGACATGGCGAGGCCACATGGAGATTCTAGAAGCGACGCGACGCATTCGAGAGCGATTTCCCGCATGCTGATTCGTAGTGGATGGACGAATCTTTCTCGCAGCTCGTCGTTGACGAAGCGTCGGGAAACTTCAGCATTTCATATGTTCCATGTACTCGAGACTTTAGGAATGAGGCATTTTATATGCTATGAATGGAACTGTACTTCCATTACTAATTGATCTGCTAAATCATCAGGTTAACTTCTTGACAATATTAAGTTGTATAGTTAGACTATCTTCAATTCGGAATATCTTGTTTAATATTTTCTTTCTTTTAGAAAAGTATATTAGCGGACTTTATGTACGAAAAGTAGTGGATTTTCATGATAAAGACGATACTATAACCCTATATGTGTATAAATTTTACCGAATTACACAACAATAGCGGAGTTTTGCTACACTATTTCCCAGATGGCTGGAGGTGTGGTGGATTGCACGGACGTGAAATTTCTCTCGTTTGCGTGTCTGGTACAGTTACCCACCGCAGAACCCACCAATGAGACACCATATGTTAGATTTACACGAGGCAAGGAAATTTTGGCGCGTAAATGTTTTTGACGTTACTGGCCACGTGGCACAATCTCTGCTTCACAGCAGCGTTTCTGGCACCATACCGTACGTTCAGGATTTCACGATGATGGCTTGGAGGGATTGCGGCAGCTTCAGGCCTCTCTCAAAGTTCGTCAGCCGCCATATTTTTTTCTGACCATCCCGCCCCATCAACGGGGAAGTGGGCTTCTCCCTGAATCAGTGGGGGCCTCCGCTCAAGTCGCAGATACGCCGTCGGTCAGCCTGACTCCCCCCTGACCCCCCTGTCGGATCGGTCGGAAGTCACAGAGCAAATCTCCCTCTGACCCCCGCACCCCAACAGGAGTATCCCCGCCAGTACGTATTCTCTTACGGCAACTGGGGAATGAAGAGGAGGCTAGGAGAGCTTCACAAGCTCGCGGAACCAATGAAATGGCTTTGTTATTCCGTCTCCTCCGACTCTATTCCCCCCTCCCCTGCCCCATTACACCTCCCCAGATTCCTTTCCCGCGCAGGCGTCAGCCCTCCTGCGAACCTTCTGGCCGGTTGTGCTGGTGGCCGAGGATTCGAGGGAGCAGAGGGGATGAGGGGGACGTCAGGTTAAACATTTCACATGTGCTTACAGTTCCTAAATCGTGGTTCAGGACGGTCCAACACGGTGAATAGCGGTTCTCGACAATTACCGCTCTGCACCGTCTTGAAACGAATTTTACCAGAGAGGGCTTACAAAACGCTGTACAACCTAACGTCGCCCTGAGCCCTCCAGAGTTCAGAGGAGAGGAGAGGAGCTTGAAAGAAGCTGAGAAGCTTGCATATGCTGGTCAACTTTGGCTGGTTCTTGGCAGCTCATTTTTCAGCTCTTGCAAAGAAGACAGAACTGCAACACGTTTCTGTTTCTATCTAAAGGTGGACCCAAGTCCCCCTTCTGCAGTTTCAAGAGCCCGTAGACCGTGTAAATACGTATCTTAGCCGACAACATGTTGGTCGAAAGCTTCAAGGTTGCTAGCCCTGATGTCGTTTACGGTGACGAGTACATCACCTCGAAATATTCGTACCAGACTACGGACCTAGATTGTGCTGTTAGGGATGGGAAGTTCGACTGGACAGTTAAGCCAGTCAGCAAGCAGTATGAATTCAGGACGCAGACCAAAGTCCCAAAGTTAGGGTAAGCCCTGTTTATGTCGCAACTACATTAGCCTTTACTTTTAAAATATTCGCTAATGTGGCTTATTACTTGCTTGTTTTCTTGCAGCGTTATGCTTGTAGGCTGGGGAGGCAATAACGGTTCCACCTTGACAGCTGGAGTCATCGCCAACAGAGAGTAAGGGACACAACCTACGCTTCTCAGGCATCAATGATTTCACTTAAGAACAATCCCCTATTGTGGCTTTTTTTCTGTTCTGGTGCCATCCATTTCTGAACTTCCAGTCTCAGGCAAACCGTGTCTGAACAGAAGTCTGTATACTTGGCATTCTTTTTTGCAGAGGGATTTCCTGGCTGACCAAGGATGGCATTCAAGTTGCTAACTACTTCGGTTCGGTCACCCAGGCGTCAACCTGCCGTGTCGGCTCCTACAAGGGCGAGGAGATCTACGTCCCCTTCAAGAGCCTCCTCCCCATGGTGTGTACTGACGTTATCAACCATGCGCTTATCAGTTCTGACCACGAGGAAGAACAACGTGTTTTAGTCCAGACCCAGTTGGCTCAGTCGCAGTTTTGTTCTGTCACTTATCCTCCAGGTTGATCCAAATGAGGTTGTTTTTGGCGGCTGGGACATTTCGAGCATGAACCTGGCTGACGCCATGGCCAGAGCGAAGGTTCTGGACATCGATCTGCAGAAGCAACTCTACAGCCACATGAAGGACCTGACACCCCTGCCTGGGATCTACGACCCGGATTTCATTGCCTCGAATCAGGAGGCTCGCGCTAACAATGTCATCAAGGGTACAAAGAAGGAGCAGATGCAGCAGATTATTCAGGATATCAGGTTAGTGCGTAAATGGATTGGCTGTCTACAGACTGCTCTCTTGGTCGGTCCATCACTTGCTCGTTCTTTGAGTTCTCTCTTGATATTCTCTTCGATAGCTGACACCAGTTCCTGCCGTTCCTCACCGTCCGTCCTTCTCATCTACCGTCCCATAACCGTGCTGCAGGAAGTTCAAGGAGACGAGCGGCGTGGACTCCGTCGTCGTTCTCTGGACAGCCAACACGGAGCGCTACAGCGACGTGCTCACCGGCCTCAACGACACAAAAGAGAACCTCTTTAACGCGATCGACCGCAACGAGAGCGAGATTTCCCCGTCCACGCTGTACGCCGCCGCGTGCATCCACGAGAAGGTTCCGTTCATCAACGGCAGCCCGCAGAACACGTTCGTTCCGGGGCTGATCGAATACGCACTGGAGAACAACAGCCTGATTGGCGGAGACGATTTCAAATCCGGGCAGACGAAGATGAAGTCTGTTCTCGTGGACTTCCTCGTTAGCGCAGGAATTAAGGTGAGCACGGCCTTAAGGTATGGAAATTAAAGCCAAGCCGAGCCCAGTAAGGGGCGTTTCTATAAAGAATCCTTTGAACCGGAGGTTACAGCACTAAATTGCTGATTATGGCAGTCTGGTTAGCAGCTTGATTGTAAGGAGGAATCTTGATATGACGGTATAGCGAAAAGGACCAAAGGATCAACGAAGGCCGCCTCACACGTATTGGCGAGTATGCCACTACCGCTGAACGATATAGTGGAAATGAGGGAGTATTATAGCACGCGTCTGTAACTAGACAACAGGGCAATCCACTTGATGCATTGAAGCACTAATGCAGCGGGTGGGGTGTTGTGCATTTGCCTGGCACCCCCATGCAGTGTTCGATCCAATAACAATAACATGAACTCGTCTGGTCTGGCTTTGTCTCGTTGTCCTTTGTCCCCCTACTCACCCCCCTTCCCCTCCCCAGCCCCACTCTCTCCCTTTCCTGGAGCATTTGTCCTTGATACGCTGCAACCACCTGGGAAAAAACAAGGGCCTCCAGACAGATCTCTCTCTCTCCCTCTTCCCGCTCCCCTTATTCCCGCCAGCCCATGGCAAGAGTGAGCTACAAGGCAACAGTGATGGCATGAATCTGTTTGTACTGCTTTTGTATAATTGTCCCACCTGCATCCTCCACGCGTCTCTCCCTCTTTCTTCCGTTCACCCCCCAGCCCATGTCGATAGTGAGTTACAACCACCTGGGCAACAACGACGGTATGAACCTGTCAGCGCCGCAGACGTTCCGGTCGAAGGAAATCTCCAAGAGCAACGTGGTGGACGACATGGTGGCCTCCAATTCCATCATTTATGACAAGGGCCAGCACCCAGACCACGTCGTTGTCATCAAGGTATGCCCTTTCTTGTTCTCGCCGCCTGTCCCCCCCTATTTCCCCCTCGGATCCCTGCTCACTCCTTGTAGCTGTCTCTGTTCCCTCTCAACCGCCCTCTCTTCCCTTTTTCAAAATTCCTTCCTGCGATCCCGCCCCTCACTTCCCTCACTCTCTCAAATTTATCCTCCTTACCCCTACCCACCCGACTCCTCATGCCCAATCTGCCCAGCGCCTCTCTGCCATTCCCCCAACTTCCTTGCTCCTTCTTATCCTGACTTCATCACCTTCCTTGTCTCTGTTTGGTCACACGCTGCTTAAGCTAAACTGATCACCTCTTAACACTAACATAAGATTACCGAGGCTGCCAGTCCTCCTCGCTCCCCACCCAATGCCCCCATTTCCATCACTAATATCCCTCTTGCAATATGTGGGGTTAGCAGAACCAACGTTCTCCCTAACATTCCTTCCTATCCCCCTTCCAAATCCCCATTCCAATGACCCTTCCAATCTCCATTCTCAACCCCCCCTGCAGTATGTGCCATATGTGGGGGACAGCAAGAGGGCCATGGACGAGTACACATCAGAGATCTTCATGGGCGGCAGGAACACCATTGTGATGCACAACACGTGCGAGGACTCGCTGCTCGCCGCACCGCTCATCCTCGACCTCGTGCTGCTGGCAGAGCTCTTCACTCGCATCCAGCTGCGCAGGGAAGAGGAGGAGGAGTTC